TTGAGCCCTCACTAGAAGGATAGCAGGTACCAGTAACTCTTGTAAACCTCTTGGTGCGCAGCATAACTCAGCATGAAAGCATTACCACCATCTTCCTGGCCTCAGCTTGGACACATCCATGCCCATCTTGTTAGCAAATGCTTATTCTTGTTCTACATCTGAAGAGGTAAGAGAAAATCTCTCAGAGGAAGAACTGTTCTTTTTCCAGCGTGTGTGTGTATATGTAACTGTAGAAACGACCATGTAAGAAGCCCCGAGTTCTGTGGTTCAAAAATACAGAAGCCTCAGTGATCTAATTATTCAGTTAAATGATCACTGAGCATGTAATTTTGTAGCATTTATCAATAATAATAATCTTGCATTTCGTATAGCGTCATCACAGAATATACTGTAAAGTGAACTGACTGTATTTTGTGAGCGAAACGTGGCAGCCAATTGCACACAGCAGTGTCCCACAGTCAGTTGTAGATTGAAGTGACCAATTTATTATTTTTTTGAAGGAATTATTACCCCCGGAAAGGTGATCCGCCAATCAACTAACAACCGGGTTCCTAATTACTGCTAGGTAAACAGAGACGTGTGGAGCAAGGAAACTGCCCAAAATTTCGCCCTGCCAGGAATCGTACCCAGGTCTCTCACTTGTGAGGCAAGGGCTCTAACCATTGAGCTACAGGACTCCAATGTGTGGTTTGCTTAGGAAATTTGGAGGTTTGATCAGCATCTACTGTCATCAAGGATTAGCAGATGAATTGATGATAATTAAGGCATTCACTGGATTATAATCTTGATGGATAAACTGAGATGTTTTGACCTTGTTTTTTTTTTGCAATTCTTGAGATTGTGAGTAGTTGTATTTAATAAACTGAATTTTAATTTGTGATTTGATTGGGAGTATCTGTGATTTTCATGTTAATCCATAGAATTCTAGTTGAAATTAAAACTTTTTTTAAATATACATTTTTGCAGACTATTTTGCTACAGTTGACATAGACTATACATAATTGCTTGGCCTTAATCATGTTGCTGGTAAACTAACTAGGTCCGACAGTTCAACGTGCATTGAATCGCGGGAAACGTAGTCTTGATCCATCAATGCATGTACACTTACTAGCTGCAGTGAACTACCACATGTGCACTTGCTGACTGCATTGATTTACACACGCACAATGTCGATTATTGATTCAATCGGATTTTACATGACTTATACAAGTTTGTCTGTAACTCGGTCTTCGCATATTAAATGTTATGGTCCTGACTGATGATAATAGTAATCCTTACATTTGATATAGCGCCTTATCACGTCTTTGATACATCTCAAAGTGCTTCACAGAATATACTGTGAACTGAATTGACTGGATATTTTGTGGGAGAAAAAACCATATGGTACAGCCTGTTCTTTCCCCAAAGCTCGCAAAGCCTACCTTGTTGTGAACACTGTCCACCATTTGTACTTCTGCTTGTTTATTAATACCGCTCTAACAAGGGCTAAATTTTTGTAATATGTGATTCTATTTGCACAAAGAAAAGCTTAGAAACATCTCCATTTAAATGGTTACTCTGTCATTTTTTTTATCCCCTTCCCTTGTGCCTTGCTTAGTCTTTTTTGAAGTGTGCAGGGCCCATTGCCAGTGGTGAGCAGGGGACACGTGGAGCTTGTCATTTCTCAAATGCACTTAAAGTTCGCCCACAAAATAGTCAATCAATTTTACAGTATATCCTGTGAAGCACATTGAGACGTCTCAAAGACACGATAAGGCGCAATATCAAATGCAGGGATTATTATGTCACTGTATGGCAATTACACTATGTAGTCCACAGAGGGATTTCGGCTTGCAGAAGAGCATGAAAATATGAGGTACCAACTCCAGTATGAGTTCTTGATTTAATTTAATTATCAAATTGCCACACAATCCAAATAGTGTTTTTTTAATAATAATCCTTGCATTTTATAATAAAAAAAATTGTGGTCAATATTATGTATGATTGATGGGTTTCTGCATGTGTGAGAGACCCAGCTGACCAAATAATTTCTTTCTCAATTCTATAGTGAGAATTGTACAGATCATTTTCGTTACATACAAGTGAATTCAGAGCAATGCTTTTAATGATCCAAGATTATTGCTACAGAAAGAATTGTAAGTCAATGTAAGTTAATGGTCGGGGCTACCTAGGTGAAGAGCTTTGCTAAGTTTTCAGTTGTTTCATTAACTCAATGATCAACCGACCTATTAAAAATGACACTACTAAAGACATTTTGTTCAGATATTTCACAATAGTGATCAAGAGCTGTACAGAACCTCGGTAAAACCTGCACTTGATAAACATTAACATAGTATTTCTCTCTCATCTCCCTGTTTTTTGGTTCTAATGGAAATAAAAATTTGTGCCTAAAAGGCTAGTGTGGAATCCTGCTCCAAGATGTTCTGTACTGCTATATAATGGACCATGGGTTACAGATTGTGGCCCAGGGTGATTTGCCCTCTAGTTTTCTAAGCACGTGCTTGACTTCAACTTAGTGCCCTTCTGTGCTTTTGCTGGCTTAGCTGTGCAGAAAATGGCTGCATTTTGTTTTTCCTTATTCAGTTCTCCAGGTATAGCCTGATGTGCATTTATTCTACCACACCTTGGCACAGCAGGTTAGAGTTGCCATGGAGAAAAATTAAATGAATGCAATAGGATTTCATTTGATAGTTTCCCGACCTCCACCCCACACCAAATGGGCTGCAGATTTTTAATTTTACACATTGAAGGAAAATCCAACAAGAAGTAGCTTACTTTTCTAAATGTATAGGTTGGGATAAATCAACTTATGGTATATTATCGCAGGAACACTGCAGACTAGAATTTAGAGCACACCAGTGGGTGGTTTTATTTCTCTTTTGAGACCATTTTACTTGTACCAGCACAAGTTTCCCCCCCACCACCACACTGCTGTAGTGTAAGTGAGCTTTAATCACTTGCACCTAGCCTTTCTCCTCTACATGGGTCTAAGATTTGTGTTCTCCCAGTTTCAGCTGACCCTACTCTATGTGGCACCATGTCTCATTGTTTCCTGTTGCTTCATCAAATATTATTATCAATTTCTTACCTATCCTGCTTTTATTTGCCTACAGTTGTCACCAACTCTCCTATCCAACGCATATCAAATGCAAGGCTTATATTATTATCTGCTAGCCTTCACAACCTGTCTATTTTCCTTCCTGTCTCACAAACCTCTCATTTTGGCTTTATATACTGTTATCAGAGTTACATTGATTACAGTGTACTGAACCCAGAAAGAACACAACTTTGTAAGGAATGTTTTACTAGTTTTTAAAAATATAATTGTGTGATCAGTTTAGGTAACCAGATTCTCATTTCAGTCACTCTCGAGGCTATTGCTGCGTATTAATCCACCTTCAGGTTTAGACAAACCAGTGTAATGTTTGACTTTTCTCCTTTGTGCTTTATGTAGATTGTGCACACATGTCAAACAATCCCAATGTACAAGAAAATCTAAGTTTTCTGGACTGAACTCCAAGGGTTCTTTCTGCTCACCCTATGATGGTATTCCCGTTCAGTTAATGATGCTTCAACTCAAGTGCAGTAGTTTAATTTGTTTAGATATTTAAAACAAGTCCTATCTGGCATGATAATTAGTGTTGCTGGGAAAGTAAAGTGCTCTTTGTGTTACACTTGAAATATTTATTCAAGCTAAAAATACCAGTTTCTCACTAGCACTGAGAAGTACCAGAGGTTTGTCTTTTTAAAGCCATAAATTATGCATAAACTGATATTATTTCTAGTAAATGCAATGCTCATGTTAAAATTGAGCACTTCTGTCAAATGTTCCCTGCAATCAAGTGCTTACATTTTTTAAAAAATCTGAAATGAAGAAAAGGTTTGAAAGCAGGATTGGGAGTTCTTGAATATTCCTGAAATTCTGAAGCTCAGAAACTGGATATAACATAAATAAATATATTTATACATTGTAATTACACTCTGGTGCTTTCACTCTCACTTTCACTCCCACTTTCACTCTTGTGCTTCTAGCTTCTAGGCCCCGAATCTCTGGAACTCCTTGCCTGAATCCCTCTGACTTGCCCTCTCTTTGCCTGTCTTCAAATCACTCCTAAAGACTTTCCTCTTTGACTGTACCTGCGGTCACCTGCCCTCTCTTTCCAGCTCGGTGTCAAACCACATTGCTGTTAAGCGTTCAGACATTACCAGCGTGATTGGTGCTACATTGCTCAATTTCCATATATACATATACATATAGCAATTTTCATTTGAATATTTAAGTATTTTCCTTGCAAGAAACCAATGGAGAACTTCAATACAGGCAATGTGGGACTGTGGCATGTGCACTGTAATACAGCGATGGTTGCATGTTAGTTACAAGTGATTTATGTAATTGAAGGGAGGAGAGATATCCTTGTGGTTTACAGTGCAATAGGAATGCTGTAATTTATGTAACTAGCTTAGCTGTGTTGCCAACTCCATGCTGGTACAATAGCTTTTCTAAAACATAAATTGCCTGTTGCGGGATGGAAAATGCCCCCAGCTAGTGTGACTGAGGAAAATCAAGTTATTGGTCACACATGTTATCAATCATTCCAAGAATGGTTTCACTGTTTTCCTTTGTGGGATTAATTAAATGGATGGTTGTGCTTTGTATATTACTGCATATGGCCATGTGAACCAAAACACGGGTTCACGTACTTGAACATGAACCAGCGGCCTTCAGCCTCTCCTCCCCCACCTTTTGGAGCTCCATCCCACAGTCCCTTTGCCTTGCTCCCTTCGTTGCCTCTTTCAAGGCCCGTCTCAAGACCCTCCTCTTTGACCACTCTCCTACCCCTCGCCTCCCTGCCCTTCGCCTCTCCTGATCCCAACCCCCAGCTTGGGTCCAAATCCTGATCAGCACTTTGGGATGTCCTCCCGAAGTGAAAGATGCTATACAAATGTAATTTATTGTTGTTGTTAAACATACTCATGGAAAGTTTATTATTCATTTTCAGCAACCAGAAAGGAGCAATGACAGCAGGGGGAGCAGCTGATGATGAGATCCCACTGGGAGAGAGGAAGACTGTTACCGACTTTTGCTATCTACTTGATAAATCCAAGCAGCTCTTTAATGGCTTAAGGTCAGTGCAGTAATTCATGCTTTCCAGATCTCTTTTCAAAGAATATTTGGTATCCTTAGCTACAAACGTTTCAGTACATTGTAATAACATAGCAGTCACTCAACAGAAATGTACTGTACACAAAACTATTGGCACAAGTCATTCCTGAATACTGAATTGGGAATTTCAGCATCTGGCTATTAGATATGGTATTACTGTACTGAATTGAATGTTTGGTCCCCATAATCCTGCTTTTTGGTCATCTAGGTTTCTAACACACGCAAAAGGCCAGCATTGAATATAACCTTTTTATGCTCGGTATTAAAATTGGTAACCGAATCTGTTCTAAATTTGTGGGAGTAATATTATAAATCCTTTCTTGATTTTAATGTAATTTTAGCATCTTTTCACGTTGTTTAAACGTCAAGTGCTTCACAGGTTATAGGTCTTACTTCATTCAATACTGTAGTCCCACAAAAAACATCTCTTTTGAAATGATTCACTGCCATTTCGAAAATCACTTTAAAATAAGATTTTTTCATCCTTCATCTGGTTTCTTGCTTCAGATGTGCTTTGTTACTTTGGAGAGGAGCTGTTATACAATTTTCTTTCTTAGCAGCATTCTGACTAGGTGTATATTAATCTTCCTGTTGACTAGTGGAGATATTAATCTGTCTGTTAATGAATTGTATTCAAAGTGTCAATGCTAAAATAATGATACTTTATAACCATTGGAGAGATAACTATTCCATAGTTTGGACCAGGTGTAATACTCTGTTTCCTAACCTTCTCCAAATCTAATCTCTTCAATATCATGGCTGAGGCTGATTACTGAGCACTGTTAATCACTTACTATAGCAAGAAAATCTGGCCATTAACTGCTTATCAAGCCTCTGAAGGGAGATTCATTATCTGTTTCTCAATCATTGGCTGATTGGTTCATTTCTCTTGTTTTATACTTATGATAGACAAGTTGGATCAGTTATTGCCTTAAAGCATCTTCTACCAGATAATGGGTAGAAGGATGGATTAATTGAGTCATACCTTCATAGAATTATACAGCACAGAAGGAGGCCATTCGGCCCCTCATGTCTGTGCTGGCTCTTTGAAAAGAGCTACCAAATCAATCCTACTCCACTGCTCTCTTCCCATAGCCTTGCAAACGTGTCCTCCCCAAATATCTATCTACTTCTCTCTTGAAAGTTATTATCAAATTGGCTTCCACCACCCTTTCAGGCAATGCATTCCAGATCCGAACAACTCGTTGTGTGAATTTTTTTTCCCTCACCCTCCCTTTGTTTCTTTTAACAATGTTTTAAATCGGTATCCTCGGGTTACTGACCCACCCACCAGTGGAAATAGTTTCTCCTTGTTCACCGTATCGAATCCCCTGATCATTTTGAAAACTTCTATTAAGTCTCCTCTTAACCTTCTCTGCTCCAAGGAGAATAATCCTCGCTTCTCTAGCCTCTCCCAATAACTGAAGTCCCCCATTTCTGGTACCATCCTGGTAAATCTCCTTTGCATCCTCTCCAGTGCCTTGACATTCTTCCTAAAGTGTGGAGCCCAGAACTGAACACAATCTCTAGCTGAGGACTAACCAGTGTTTTATAAAAGTTCATCATAACTTCCTGACTTTTGTATTCTGTGCCCCTATTTATAAAGCCTAGTATCCTGTATGCTTTTATAACAGCTTTATCTACCTGTCCGGCCACCTTCAAAGATTTACTTATATGAACCCTTAGGTCTCTCTATTCTTTAATCCCCTTTAAGATTGTACCATCTAGCTTTTATATATATATATATATATATATTCCGCCATCTAGCTTATATGTAGGTTTGCCAATAAAAATGTATAGGTCACAACTTGTAGAATAACAGATGAGAAGCTTATCAATGAAGTCAGAATTGAGTCTTAATTTCACAAAGAGGTTCAAAATTTTCCACCAAGGCCAGGTATGCTTGTTGCTAGAATGTGGAGAGAATGAATTTTAAGGATCCATCTATGATTTGTTTTGGGACCAGATCAGTTTGATGTTGGATACCAATGTGCATTCAAAACATACATGACTAGAACCAGCTCTGTCCACTTTCCTCACAGTCATCCCTCAAAGCAATGTTGATCAGATGTCTGATATGTTTTGCTTAAAATTGAGTACCATCCATTGGCAGAAACCATATTGATCCATTCAAACATTTTTCTCCTATGTTTTGTGAGGTGCTTGTTCAACACTGAAGCATCCCAGAATGATTGGATTATTGCATCTCCTTCAGCAAAGTTATAAAATTACTACCATAAAAGTGTTGTGTTTTTAAATCAGTTTTATTTAAAAGGTATTGCCAAAGTTCTATGTTAAAATCCATACATTTTTAATCAATGAAATAAAGAGACATTGTTCTCACAGGGCAAGCTCATTGACTTGATGCACCTCACAGTGCAAGATGCACTGTAGCAAGGAATTGGAAGCAAAAGTGATTGTCAACAAACTCACTGATTTGCTTAATATCTCGTGCAAAATCTCAGTCCAATAAGCAGTTTAATCATATTCTAATCGGGTGATCTTCTTGGAAATCCAAAGGGAGATGTACCTTTTCTTCAGGGGCTTGTGCAATTAAACAAGTAATTTGTTTTGATGCTATGCGATTAGAATAAATAATAATCCTTGCATTTGATAAAGCGCCTTATCATGTTGTTGAGGCATTTCAAAGCGCTTCACAGAATACTGTATATTGTAAAGTGGAGAGATTGTGTATTTTGTGGACAAAACGCAGCAGACAATTACGCACAGCAGTGTCCCACAAACTTGCATTTATATAGCGCTCCTCATGCAGGATTGAGTGACCAATTTTTTTTGGAAGGTTTATTATCCCCGGAAAGCGATCCGCCAATCGACTATCAACTGGGTTCTTACTTACTGTTAGGTAAACAGGTGTGTGGAGCAACAACACTTACCTAAGGTTTACTGTAAATAGGATGTAGTGTGCCAGTAGCAGAACAAATGTTCCATAATGTTTTGAAACAACACCTCACAAAAATGGTTTCCTACAGATGGATTAAGTTTACTGCTGTTAGAAGAAACTTCTATATTTTTGCAGTTACGAAAAGCTTGTTTTTGTGAAGAAAATACAATGCAAAGTAGATTATATAGGGGTATGGAATATGTCAACTAAAGGGCAGATACGAGCCAGCACAAACACAATTGGCCTCCTTCCGTGCTGTAAATTTCTATGGTTCTATTGTGTTGGTAATGATTCAGTAGTATATACAGATTTGTTTATTACTGCATGCTGTGATACCATTAAAGGTGGTTTGCAACGTGTAGTGGAGTGTTGTGTGGTTGGCATGTGAATGCAAATAAATAGTTGAATCACCAAAGCGTGAAACTGCAGCTGCTCTTGAATGGTGGAAGCAAGGCTACAGCTACTAATGTGAGATCAGTGCTGCATTAATTTCTTTCAAACATTGATAGCAACAACAACAACTTGCATTTATGCAGCCCCCATGCAGGTTAGGATCCCACAGCGCTTGACAGTGGCGGAGCATGACGCTGAGCTGGGGGGAGGTGACCGTAGGCACGATTGATCAGGAAGGTCGTTGGGTGCAACTTGAAGATGGGGAAGGAAGGGGCAAGGCTTGGAGGGATATAGGAAGAGTGTTCCAGAGTTTTGGGGCTTAGTGGCTGAAAGTGAGACACTGATGGTGGAACAGAGGCTGATATCTTAATATGCAAAACCTGGATATTTGAAGAATGGAATTAATAAGATTGAGAGATTTATGCCTTGTTTACACTGTGGAAGTGAAGCAGCATCATGTGTGTTGTGGATTCTGCAAGTGTACTTTGAATATGTACCCTTGGTTCATCTTGTCCTCCTGAGCTTCACTCATGTCTATGGGGAGAAGTATGTGAAATATAATATATATAAGTGATTAATTCTGTGCATTAATCTGAATAAACCAAGTTAGAAAAAGTGCACTGCATTACAATGGCCAGTAATTTGTCTTTTGAATCACTATTGTTAAGTGTCGGGTCAGCTGCACTGCTCTGATAAAGACAAGAGAAGTAAATGAGAGCAACAGAGATAAAGAAAAATGCCCTTAGGCTTTTGTGTTGATCTAAAGTATAGACGACTGCTGCACCCTTTAACGACATATACTGTCCAGGGTCATTCATTAAAGCATTCACACTATGTCAATCTCTGACAAATAAGACGTGAACAGTGGTCTGCAGTGGATTTGTTGAAATGTAAGCTCTCTAAAGCCGAACCCAGTACATTTTTAAGAATGAAACGAATATTAGCCACTAAAAACATGATCACCTGTACTTTTACATATCTTAGCTATGGATATTTGAGGTAGAAACAGTTTTGCAGGGAAATCAAAGCTAGTAAATAGTTCTTGGAAGTCCCATTATAGAACCTTGTAATAAAATCTAATTACATTATGGGCTCAAATTCTGCTGTGGACATAAGTTTAATTTAATCGGCATAGAAGTCAAATACTGCACACATTCTTTTATGAAATATATAGCCAGCATCACCAACTGTAATGCAGTGCATAATATTTATTTCCATTCCACCACTGTTTGAGCTCCAGATTAATCTTTCGGTCACCAGTATCGCAATTTGTGGTGGTTTATCAGACAAGAACGGGAGCTTCCGCAGTGTGAATCTGATCCTGCTGAAATAACTCTGGAAATCCTGGAATGCAATATTCCTGCAGTGCAATCTAGCCAAGTCCCTGCTACTGTTCAAATTCATCGATCCACTCCCTGACACCTCCGTACCTCTCCCGACCTCCTCACTCCCAATCCACCACCTGATGCCTCGACTGGTACCGGCCTCCTGCTTGTCCCTCACGCCCTTTGCTCCACCATTGGAGGTTGTACTTTCAGCCACTACATGCCGAAACTCTGGAACACTCTCCCTCAATCTCTCCGCCTTGTCCCCTCTCTCCCCTTTTTCAAGTCCCATCTGAAAACCTTCCTTTTTTTCAAAAAACTCACATTGGATCCTAGATGTTTATGTTTCACATCTGTTGCTTTAAGTGACTAAAGAGTTCCAGTTCAGCTTTCACTTTTTCGACTTCTAACTACACTATAGGTTTATATGATGGAATACCCAGTAATTATTTGTATTGGCTAATTCGAGGTTGTGGTTTTGCAGAAAGGGTTTCCATGCCATGTGATATTCAGTGTATTTACTGGACTGATGAACACCTTTCATACTATTGTGGAGGCAAACTTGTTCAATACAACTGCATATATAAGGTATAAAATTTATCAGATTTTTTGTCTTTGTTTTCAAAGAAAATGTACAGTCTGCATATTGCACTGAGTGTTGTGTAGGCAGCTGTACAAATTAAACAATGAGTTGAAAATCGTACGTTTTTGGTAAATTGAGATGAGGGAGGAATAGTGGTCACAACATTTTAGTATTAGGCTAGGATTCTCTACTGTGTAAACCTATTCTTGAATATTAGAATCTTCCAATTTCTTTCATTTTAATAGTAATGTGCTCATTTGATTTCATTAAAACATTAATACATTTGGAAATGAAAAATAGCCAAACTGCAGTTCAGAGTGACTTAATGATCAAGATTAAAAGTAGTGCTCTCATTGAATGTTCGATGATTCACCTTTCACTGAATAATTTATTTTTCTACATTTAGACCTATTTTATAACTGTTGTCACCTAACTAAATTCCCTTCAAATTATTTCAAAAAGTAAGGTTTGGAGAAATTAAACTTTTTGAACGAAATTTTTTTTAATAGAGAAGACCTATTTCACTGAATTACTTCAATTACATACGCATTAAAAATTTACTTCCTTAAATATCACAGGGATGAACCGAACTTGATGTAAAAACAGGCCCTGGTACAGTACAGTCTCTCTCTCTCTCTCGACACTCAGACGCGCACACGCGCACTCAGAAACAGGAGAGACACACATGCACATTCACACAGAGACATTCATAAACACATACACGTACAGAAGAGACACACACAGACGTACTCACACAGAGAAACTGACAAACAGACACATTTACAGAGGAGAGAGACACACACACTCACAACAGACACGCTGTCAGAGGAGAGAGACACTTATACGGACTCACAAACATACAGAGGAGAGACACACTCGCAGAGATATTTGCAACAGAGAGAGAGAGACACACACACGCATAGAGACATTCACAAACACACACACACTCACACTTATAGAGAGAGAGACAGACAATCACAACAGCAGGGTCTCCGAGTGAAGCGAAGCCCATTTCCCGAAAGCACATCCGGAGCCACCCTGCCTACAGTTGCGTTGGATAAATGGTCCCGGCCTGAAACTTAATTTGTAGCGGGTTTATTGCAGAAGGCACTGTTTTATGGCAGATTCCACAGGAACATTGCAGCCGCACTTTTCCATTGGTGAACTTATTGTCTCGGCTGATGATCCTGTACACTGCTGGGGCACTGTTTGAGGTGCTGTCCTTTGGATGAGACATAAAACTGTGGAGTTCCATCTGTCCCTGTTCAGATAGATTGTCAAGATCTCATGCACTATTTGAAAAGAGAAGGGAGTTTCCCCCCAATATTCTGGCCAACAATCCCCAGATAAAATCAGTTATTCACTTCATAGCTGTTTGTGGTATATTATGCAAATTGACTGCTGCATTTGCTACAAAATAGTCACTAAGCTTTACAAGAAATCCTGTGCGGTGCATTAAGATGACCAGGAACTTGCTAAAATGAAAGCGTTGAAATCCATTCAAAGATCTTCCAATGAAAGACGTGGCGCAACGTGCCATGGAAGAAAATAGACAGTTGATTTTATGATTATTCTATAATGTTGTCAACCAAAGCTAGTAACGTGACAAAACATTGTTGTGATGACTAAAATTGCAATTTATTTTAGAAATATGAGCTTTGTCCTACTTCTCTGATGCAAAGACACAAGACCAAACACAAATGCAACACAATGGGTGGAAGAGGCCTGTAATACAGTATATTCATCACAAAGATGCCCTTGCCAGATGTGAAATACAAGGTCATTTTGCTGATGGGCTATCATCAGACAGGATTTAATTTCATTCCACGGTCCATTAATTTCCCATCTTTGCAGTCAGTAATAATATCCACATGATATATATAGTGACAGACTGAAAAGAGAACAAACCAATAACTTTAAAATAAAAGGCTAGGTCAGCAGCATTGTGGCAGTACAAAAGTCTTTCTTTAGTAATGTTAATGAAATATTAAAAAATAGACAATTGAATTTGTTTTCTCTTTTTTCTCTGTCGCTTTTCCCCCATCCATCCCCATCAATATCTTTTGGTCGCTTTATGTTCCGTTATTGAGTTTTCTCCATTCTCCATCCTCTCTTCCTGTATTTCCAGTGCCACAAGCTTGTTTTGATGCTGTTTGTAAAACTGTAATTGGTGGTTTTGCTGGAAATGAGAAAGATATTGTTATTGGACACCAATCAAACAAGACGATTGAGTATTTCTGGTTAAGCCTTTTGGGCAGTGCACCTTTGTACGCTACATTTGAATACTAAGTGATGAACAAATGAACAGTGTGGATACAGCAGCACAGGGCATTGCAGCTTCAATGTGCTGAACGAGAGAGTAGGAAGAAGTACGCACTTTGCACCTAGTACTCAACTATAGCGTATCAACTGAACCACATCATATCCTACATGCCACATCGTATACTGCTTACTGGCTGAGTGTTCCCTTCCTGCTCAGCTAATATGAAACCTGCAGACCAAGGAAAGCAGAATTACACAGTATTTTTGTAAAGTCTTCCCAGTTTTTTTAATAAAATGAGAAGTGATGTTACTTGCCTAATGTAGGCTGGCTTCCAGTCAGTTGTGTGAAGCACTTTGAGACTCCTCACAATGCCAGAAAAATGTAAATTGTCGTTTACTAAGTGCTTAGTTGTACATTTCGGCAGCAGAAACCAGTTGGGACAAAAAAATTCTTGTGAAAAGTCGTGTTTGCAACAAACGTATAAAATCTTAACTAATCATTTGTAGGCTACCACTAGTCCAATTACAGTAAGTTTTAGCAAGAAAGTAGCAGCTCACACGGTTTTCATCTGACACCTCCAGACGCGCACACAACGTACCTTCCAGCAAGCATCACAGGTTAGTGATTCAGGGATCTTGGTTGATCTATTTAACCGCTTTGAGATGTCTAGAAGATATGAAAGGCGCTATTGTCAAATGCAAGGATTATTATTATTTCCCCCCCCCCATCGAATTCAATAATAGCATTCCAAAATTGCTAAAGCAGCACACACAAGGATTCAAACCTGCATCCTTCCAATACTTGGGCCATCAGAGCTCCTGATGAAATTCTTAAGTATTAAACCTGGCTCAATGTTAGCTTGCTTGTCATGTCTGATAAAAGTGCTGTATACTATTTTAATATAATGCATTTATTCAGAAATGTTACATATTTAAATATGCAATGATTTTGAAATGAATTTTATAATTGTCATGATTTTAAAGTTTCCAAGTTGCAAGGTTGATTTTAGATAACATTTTCTGTGTTTTGCAGAACAATGTTGTATTTAATCTATTGAGTTGATTAAAGAATATACCATGAGTTTTGGCTTGTAATATTGGCATGTCTACGTTAGTGAGTCAGTGGTGCCCTTGGTTATTCCTCTGAGCTATTTCAATGCCGTTGTTTCTTTGATTCCTTAACAGTTTATTTTACACATTGCCAGCCTGGATTTCATGATCTACACTGCTGCTGCTGTCTTACTCACTGTTCTTATAGGTAAACATTGCTCTTTGTTTCTGCAGGGATTTACCTCAATATGGACAGAAGCAATGGCAGTCATATTTTGGACGCACTTTTGATGTATATACCAAGCTCTGGAAATTCCAACAGCAGCACAGGTTGGGAAAAATGCTCTTATTTGTTGTACAAATAAACAAAATTATTTTGTTCCTATACCTAAGACTGTAATTCAGTTTCAGTAAGCAATTTTAATCCATGTAAAATGCAGATATCACTCTGTCTAGAAATTCAGACTTTGCATCTCGTTATTACTGGTATGGCTTTGATTTGGTATTTAGTGACCAGCAATGTACACTTTGAATAATCTTTATGAATACTTTTTAAAGTAAACTATAGATAAAACTATAGAGAATGAAACTGGATGCATGATAACTGAGCTATGTGGGCATTAAAATTTGTGTGAAAAATGCACTTTTCCCTTCTGCTCAGTAGTTCAGAAATATAGTCCCACGTGTAAAAATAACTTGATCATCTAATACAGTCTATTCATTTAGGATATTTGTTTGTCTATCTCTGTTTAACACAGGCAAATTCTGGACAATCGATATGGCCTGAAGCGATGGCAGATTGGAGAAATTGCTTCCAAAATAGGACAGCTCTACTACCATTATTAGTAAGTTCAATCTTGGACTGATCAAAATTAATTAGAGGTGGACCATTTAAATCTAAGGTATTTGATGAGTGGCTTCCTTTAAAGGGCAGAGTAATGTGTGCAGGCTCTGTTTGCTATAAATTTCCTTTTGAATAATTTTACTTAGTAACCTCCCTTTCTGATACAGCAGTTTTTCCTTCCTCTGTTGCTCTGTTTAGCCTTCGTACTTCTGAGACAAGTTATTTGAATGAGGCATTTTCCTTCTACTCTGCAATAAGACAAAGGGCCTATTACTCACAGGTCACTAAGGAAGATAGGTATGATGATCTATTTTTCAATTTTGACTTGTTTTGCATTTGTAACTACAATAATTCAGTACATAGGCATAACCCAGTTATGGGGGAATTATAAATCAAATGTTTTGAATATAGAAATTTTTAATTTTCAAAATATATTTAGTATTTCAACTAATGCTCTTGAAATGATTGCAGGAAAATTAAAAAAAGTATGTTTAAAAAAGGAAACATTGCAAATGTTCATGTTTGTTTACTTTATATACATTTACTGATAACACAACAGAGGGCAACCAAAATGATTGAGGGAATGGAAGTACTGCACTATAACGAGCGACCAAGTAGATTGGGCATGTTCACACTGGAAAAGGGACGATTGAGAGGCGACATGATTGATGGGATTCTAAAGGGGCAAAACAATATAGATCATGGCAGGCTATTTCAACTTGTCCAGGATAGTAAAACCAGAGGACACGGCCTGTAATTGAAGGGGGGGGGGGTAAATTCAGAACGAATCTACACAAACACTATTTCAGTGAGTGAAGAGTGAACCTGTGGGAGATGGTTGAAGCAGGAAGTATTGATTCTCAACCACAGATTTTAGGAAATAACATTATGGGATATAGTACATGAGTAGTTTGGGACATATGTGCATGCGACCTCCAGGAAGGTGGAAGGTGAACTAGATAAACCTGGTCTTTTTCATCTAGCATTTCTTATGTTCTTATGTAACATTGAGTTTTCAGGCATCTTTAATGTGATTTGGGTTTGTTTGGTCTTTCTCTTCCCCCCCTCCTCCCAGGCCAGAGCTGGTTGTTAAAAAACTCCGGTATTATGCACGTTACATAGTGGTTTGCCTTCTCCTTAACAAGATGGAACTGGTAAAAGATATAGTGAAGGTATGGCATTTATGAGATTTTGTTTTTATTACGACAAAACTATGGTAGGAACTTTCAATTAGTATCATTAGTGATACAATGGCTAATCTCCACTTTTTACTATTTTTCTGTTGAGTGCAAAGCAGAGTAGTCCGTCAGCTGAACCAGGGCTGTCATTCCTGCATTTGTCTGAGTGGATGTGGCAGAGGTTGTTTTTAGTGCTCGCCTCCTCCCGATTGAGATCAGCTGTAGACTGGATAGTCACACTTCAGGGCCTTCTATTCTGGATGTCTCAGCGACTCATTGGATAAACCCTGACTCTAGTTCTCGACTTAAAACAATGCTTTTATAAAATTAGATTTTAATGATATGATCATTTTCTCAACTACTCTCAACATTCGTGTTATTTATCTATTAGTTTTACTGTTTATTAATTACTTTTACTTATAATCCTCTCTTGCCATTTAAAATGGGAAAATGTAGTTCTCTGACCAACACTGAAGTAGTTTTTAATTTTAACAGGAGCTATCAGATGAAATTGATGACTATACACACCGTTTCAACTCTGAGGACCAACTGGAATGGAATCTGGTGCTGCAGGAGGTGTCTTCATTTATTGAGGTCTGTTTATTAGTTAACTAAGGCACTGGCAAAGTTAGAACTTGAATTTGTACATCAATTGACCATCTCAAAGTGGTTTACAGGCAATTACTGTCCAGTATAGCAACTACATTTATTGGTAAAACCAAGATTTCACAAACCGCAACAAAGTGAATGAGCAATTAGTCTAGAGGATTTGATTTGACCAGCCAAGTAAGTGTCTGATGCATTTGGAAACCCATCACCACGATCACCACATTGCTGCTTAATACTAAACTTTTAAAAGTGATATTTAACCCATGAAATCACATTCAACATCTTTTTCTGCCAATGGTACCCACAGGTTCGGTCTGCGAAAGGATTTCCTCTCAATCACTGTCTGACAATCACTCAGATGCAGAGGTTTAACAGATGACCTGACAATGCTTAAGCAATTGGTTTCTTCTGAGCTGTGCAAAGTGGCAGGATAACTTTAAGGTTGTCAGTCACTTTTACATCACAGACTGGGATTATTCTGAAATGTGAAAGTTTGGGATCATCTCATCAATGATCTATTATGGGTGACATATAGAGTAATTAAAACAAATAATTGTTCCATTTTTTAAAAAAATCCCCAACAAAAGCGCATCTAGCTCAGAACATTTTCTAGTTATATGATGAGTAAACATTTGTAGTTTAACTTGCAAATATGATTATTTTAATTGTCAGTCTATTGTACAAAATAAGGACTGAATTTCATAATAGATTTATCACTGTTATTTCAACTTTGTTTGCTGCAGAGTTTTAAATCCTGGTTATTCCTGTGCTATAAATGTTAATGACACACTCTTTTACGATAATAATAATACTTGCATTTGATATAGTGCCTTATCACGTCTTCAAGACGTCTCAAAACGCTTTACAGAATATACTGTAAAGTGAATTGATTGTATATTTTGTGGGCAAAACGTGGCAGCAAATTGCACACAGCAGTGTCCACAAATAGTCATGGATGGAGTGAACAATTCATTTTATTTTTAAAGGAATTATTACCCCCGGAAAAGCAATCCACAATCGACTAACAAATGGGTTCCTACTTACTGCTAGGTAAACGGAGGCGGAGTAAGGAAATTGTTGCCCAACGTTTCACCCTGCCGGGAATTGAACCCAGGTCCTTCGCTTGTGAAGCGAGTGTTCTAATCACTGAGCTATAGGACTCCACAATTGTGGGAACTGAAATGGTAAATGGAGGCCAGGGGTATTCCTGCAGAGAGTGATTGAGGGAAACATTAGGTACACATCAGTGCCTTACATAGACTATGGACTACTTATTGATGACTATTGGGGTTGGGATTTTTGTTATGCTGAAATAAAGTTGTATCAAGTAGAAATGCTTATTATCTTTGGTGTACAGGCAGACCCTGTGTTGATTTTCACTGAGGAAAACACCCTTTTTATCACTTCAAATCGACTATCGGAAGGAACAGTCCCACCACTTGAACTCGGGATGATAGCTGGTCAGTTGGCATTAGCGGATGCATTGATCATTGGAAACTGCACCAATCAGGTACATCAATTGATGTCTTGCATCTGTTATTAAGTGCATTATATTGCTGATCTAATTTGCAAAGTAACTTCATAGTTTGTGTGGTAAAGTTACTGTTGGATTCAATGTATCTGCAGCCTCTTAACCTTTCCCACTCCCCAAACTCTTTCCAATATGACTGAAACTTCCCTGGAAAGTGTGACTAATTTTAAATTGGTCAGTTATACAAATTATTGATTAACGCATGTCATTGAAGTGAATTTAAAATAGCAATTTATATAATGATTTAGGAATAGCGATATATCACAGAATCCATGTTCTACAATGTTGTACTTTGAATTACATGAAACTCACGTTTTATGTTTAGATTCAGAAGTAGTGTAACAAAATTGAGTGTTAAGTTATGCTTTTGTGCTCAATTCTATAATCTCACAGATTCATAGATTTATTTTAATTTTTTAGGTGAAATTCAGTGAATTGACCATAGATATGTTCAGAATGCTGCAGGCATTGGAAAGGGAACCCATTAACTTGGCTCCACAAATAGGCAAAGGGGGACCACAGGTGAGTCATCATAATCCTTGAGCTTTAACTAATGTGAGCAAGAAAATATCTTTTGATTGTGTGAGTTATAAATTGGATGTTTTTATATTAAACTTGATGAAACATTTGCACTGCAATGAAGCTATAAAGAAATTTACAAGGAAGTGTTTAATTGTGTCTCAGCTTCAAAGCTTGTGCCTTAGTGTTGTTTCTTGTTAACTGCAGTTGATCTCATTAAGCCGAAAAGCTGATGTTCTAACCTCATGTTAGATGTGCTTCCAGTAAGATCAGGCACAATATGGCACTGAAAGTTCCTTTCTCTTATTCTATCATTAAAGGCAAGCTGAGGAGGTGCAATATGTGTTTTTTTTTAAATTGACGATGTACAAGTGGTAGGTTTGTTAGATACCTGGTGTACTTCCTAGAGGCTGGTTTTACATCAGTGTTAGCAGAGACATGCAAAAGGCCTTCTCAAGTTCAGTGACCAAGCTTGGGTCAGTGAAGAACTATACAGTATTTTAAAAAAGAAAGTAATTTTGTCTTATTCGTTTTACCTAGGAAACAACAGAGAAACATTCCAAACGAGAGAATCCGCACAAATATTTAATGTACAAGCCTACATTCAGCCAGCTGTACACATTTCTTTCAGCATCGTTTAAGGTTTGCTAACGTGTTCTAGCGTTAATGTTCAGCGAATGTGAAGTTTCAATCCATGTGGGTTGCATCTAAAATTGGTACTAAATGCCAAGCAAAAATGAGTGGAAGCAAATCAGAATACTGCAATACTGATGTGTGTGTGTGTATAATATATATGTATAAGCGATCTGAGATGCTACCCTGCATGGAAGGCGCTATATAAGTGCAAGTTATTGTGTGTATGTGTGTGTAGGGAGAGGACAGGTTTGCAGGGCTAGGGGGCGAGAGCGGGGGAGTGGGGTTGATCAGGGCTATGGGGAGAGCGCAAGGGAGTGGGGTTGATCCGGGCTATGGGAAGAGAGCGGGGGAGTGGGGTTGGTCAGGGCTATGGGGAGAGAGCGGGGGAGTGGGGTTGATCAGGGCTATGGGGAGAGAGCAGGGGAGTGGGGTTGATCAGGGCTATGGGGAGAGAGCAGGGGAGTGGGGTTGATCAGGGCTATGGGGAGAGAGCGGGGGAGTGGGGTTGATCAGGGCTATGGGGAGAGAGTGGGGGAGTGGGGTTGATCAGGGCTATGGGAAGAGAGCGAGGGAGTGGGTTTGATTTGGAATCTCTTTTAAAAGAGCCATCACAGACACGATGGGGCCGAATGGCCTCCTTCTGTGCTGTATAATTCTATGATATGAAACCTGTATAGTTAAGAACTTGGGATGTTTGCTGCACTGGCAGACAGTGATCTTGAAAAAAAAACTCAAGGCAGTGAATTTTATTGTAAGCCAAAGACATTGAATGCTAAGTTTTGGGCATTGTGTTAGCTAAAGAGGACAATATATGGTTAAGTTATGACTGTAACCTGTTTATTGCCTGTTTAAATGTTGTCTTCTTACTATGCTGGTACTTGTAATATTATACCAGCAGATTGAGATTTGATCTTGTCAAATTTTAAATGAAGAATCTGCTTCTAGATCACTCTATATGATCAAAGAAAATCAAAATGTTCTTCCTTTCTTTCTTCCCATCCCTCCTTCCCTGATAACTTGCCTTTAGTTTTTACACATGCAGTCCTTTGATTTGGTTACTGGAGGGATATAGACTAATAATAATCCTTGCATTTGATATAGCGCTTTTCACGTCTTCTAGATGTCGCAAAGCGCTTCACAGAATATGCTGCAAAGTGAATTGACTGTATATTTGTGGGTGAAACGCGGCAGCCAATTGCGCACAGCACAGAAGGAGGCCATTCAGCGCTTTGCGCCTATGCCGGCTCTCTGAAAGAAATATCCAACTAGTCCCACTCCCCCGCTGTTACCCCACAGCCTTGCATTTTTTTTGTCTTTTAAGTGCCTCTTCAATTCCCAAGTGATTGTGATTCAGGTAACATGTATTTTTCTCTCCTCTACCACCACAATACCTTCCCCATCCTGCCTTTGTTTGGCATCTCCTCCTAATTCCAAAATAGGTATTTTGCTATGTGGGATAGATAGTGTGACTAGTCTAATGCAGTACCGAGCTATGAACCATTGACACATTCTGTTCCTCTACACTGAATTTGTTGACCGCCTTGTTCAAGTGCAATAATTGACATTCATGCTGAAGTAAAGCAAACCATTAGATTACTCCACCAAGATTCAATTTTACTTTGCAGACAATACCAATAATCAACTGCCAAAATATACCAGTGTTTTCATTGGTTTCAGTTATCAGTATTTATAATAGAAATAACTAACTGCTGAGGGAAAATTGGCGTCAAATGGTGAAGTGATTATTTTAAGGATACCTTACTACACAAAATATTTAGTTAAAATCTGAATCTTCTTGTTTCAGGAGCTTCCTGCAAACGCTGTTCTCCTGATCTACCTGTCAGCCACGGGAGTGTTTCCTACAGTTCGTTCTGATTTTGAAGGTACAATAAAGGAATGCTTCCAGTTTTGAGTAGGACTTGAATTAACTTTAGAAAGGAAGCAAACAAGTTTATCTGCCTAAAAGGAAAGGGCCATGAGATGTTTGTTTTAACACAGACGAAATGTGTACTATTTTTGAAAATGTGCATCAAATTGCCGCTGTTTAAATCAGCACCCCTAACCCAATGCTCCAGTTGCAATCCTCGTATTATGCTAAGTTCCTAAACAATCTTGTTGAATGTTCCTCATTTATTATATAGCCATCTCCATCATCTGCCCATGTGTGACTCACTCAATGAAAGCAACTACAGTTTGCTCTTTTGTACCTGGAGGCACAATTTGTGTGTGGGGTGGGAGTGATTTCCTATAAGTTGAGTTGATTGAGTTCTTTGGTGTTGAATCCTCTAGTCAACCTTCAGTGTATTTATTTATTTTGATGCCCCCTTTGACCCCTGATATTCGCCTGCAAATTCACCCCACTTCACATAAAAAAGGATTGCCATTCATGCTGTCGGCAAATGAATGGTCGAGTCACAATTAGTCCTGCTACTTAGACTATTCATCAGCTACAATTTGGTATTGGATGCCTTGGGGATGTTTAAGCGCAAAACTGCTTTTTAACTACTTTTCAACCAGGGTTGACTAAACCAGTTTGTCTAAATTCAAGCCATCCTCATGATTCTATCTTTGTTTTGTTTCTTTTGTGTCATTATTTTTTTTGGCAGATTATGGATTTGTTTTTTCTCTAGTTTTTGAAGTGTTTATTCATAAATCTTTGTCTGTTGATTTGCTTAGCATTTTTAGGCTACATTATGAAGCTAAAAATCAACAATTTTGGGATAATGGCATACGGCTGGGTAGCTTTGACAAGCAGCATTTAATTAATGGTTTAACAAGTTAATCTGATTTGCTTGGATTTGGAATAGTGCCATTTGAGGGGGGGCACAAACCTGCAGCCTTGAAAGGAGAATTAGCAGGAAATTGAGTTCATTACAGTGACATGAGAAAAATCTTTCTACTCTTTTGTGAGGTAGAATGAGTGCATATGATAGGAGTTAAATGAAGCTTTATTGCAGTATTCTGTTATACTTTTATTTGAATTGGAAGCCTTCCTTGGAAGGAACAGCTAACTTTGAATTAAATTTCAGTTGAAAGAGATGTTGCCAGATATTTGGATGAGAGTGTGTGACGGCCATTCCTAAAGCTAATCCTTGGTGTAGAGTGCACAGTCCTTTCCGTTTTGCTTCGTTATGTAATGGATAACATTAAAGATTTTGGATTTGAATTTAAAGATATTTCAATTTAGTTCATTGCCCTCCATTTTAAGATCATAAGAGTTGAGTAGCAGTACGCTGACCAGACTGTCTCTTCGGGGTCACTGTAAACCACTCTTGAATTGTGTGTTCTTTCACCTCTTTCCCTGCTCTCCTCTCCGCTCAGTCTTTGTATGGGGCTCAGGGGAGAAGGAGAATTACAGGGCGAGAGACTAGATCTCAGTCTATCCATCATTCTGTATCTTTTCAATGTACTGTCACCTCGGCTTTACATTGTCTAAAATGTCTTGGAATTAAACAAAATCATATGTAAAGTTAAACTTATTTGCGGAGTCTGTTATGGAACAATGAAAAAAGATGTTTAAGATGTGAATAGCCTTTCATACAAAGGGATTGGCTATTCCGGCTCCAGTGAAGTCTGGAACAAACTGTGACCTTTGAAAGTGTGCTCACATTTGCTGTATACATATGTGTTTGAATGTGTTTGTTCCTGTTCAGGTCCATATGATTTTGGTGGAGTTATGACTAACAATAATCGTGATGGATCTAATGTGGATGGAGTACAAAAGCGGAACCAATCATTTAAAGAAATGCACTGGTACGTCAACACAGTCCTGTTTACTACTGGAATTGACAAGAAAATCAATAAAACACTTTAAAAAAATTGTGGGCAGGAGATGTTCGAGAATGCTATTTTGCAGTTATTTTTAATTTTTGATCACCTTTTAAGTGAATAGGATGTTTAGCAGCAATGTACAGAAGATAAGTTATGAGCGGTAATCCGTGAAAAACTGTGTCATAATAAGATGTGCTGGTTCTCAGTCTGACACACTGGTGCAATACTGGAGGGTTTTGGGTGGGAACATTGCATTATTGGAGGTGCCCTCTTTCAGATGAGATGTTAATTGAGGTTCCACTGCCTGTTCTTGTAGATGTTAAACATTGGATGACACTATCCAAAAAGAAAGGAATACCTTTTGGTATTGTTCTCAATCATCCAGATAAATTGGTCATTCATTTACTGTTCTTTGTGGGACCTTGCTGTACAAATATTGGCTGCCCACAAAAAATCCAGGCACTACATTTGACAGCAATTCCTTGTTTTAATATTTCAGTGTTATATGTACTGTAACGATTGTTCATTTTATGACACTTATATCATAAACAAGTTTCAGCTTCTTTTACCTAGCAGTTACATTTACTCCCTTTGTGTGAATTTATGAATTAACTACTCTGTGCATCAGGTGGATTTAACTTTCTGGTGCCTTGCCCCAAGTGATCATTTGTTAATATGTCAATCTGAACACTGTGTGATGGCAAGCTGTTCAATGGTTGTGAGTAATGCAGCCAAGCCCAGTCTTCTGTTCAACTGGTATCCATATGTGAACTTTCAACATAAGTCTCTGGAACAATAATAACAAGGAACACTGTCCAAATTTCTTTCCCTCCCAGACATAGCAAACTGAGGCCAAACAGTAGCACAATCATTTCCTCCTGGCTGAGATTCCCCAACTAGGGACATAGCAGTGATCACATTGGAAATGTTCTCGTCTCTTTAGCTTTGTGCTGGATTTACTCACTGAGTCATTGGTGACTTTCTACTTTTGTAATTCATATTTATTTCAGGATGGTACTGACTTCGGCACAGAGAGAGAAACTTCCCATGTTGTGAAATAATGTATGTATGATTTCATGAGTTCCCAGCGACTTCAGAAATCATACATACATCCTTTCACATCAGCAGGTCAGGAAGCATTTATGTGGAGAGGAAAGTGAGTTAACATTTCAGGTCGATGACAGTTCTCACTTTCCTCTCTCCATAGATGCTGCCTGACCTGTTGCATGTTCCCAGCGACTTGTTTTTATTTCAGATTTCCAGCATCTGCAGTATTTTGCCTTTCATGTATGGTTTCTGTTGGATGGCAGGCATCTAGTCCCTTTGATATCTGTTGCTCATTTGGTGCAGTCAATTCACTTTACAGTATATTCTGTGAAGCACTTCGAGATGTCCCCAAAGACGCAATATCAAATGCAAGGATTATTATTGGGCTAATCAGAAAGTCTTCAGGCCATATTCGGCGACTAAAACGTGTTATACCATAACTTCACTAAACATTAAATTATTAAAAATTAAATTGTAAAAAAGAAACATTAAACTCAATCCATGACTGTGGTGGGATACTGCTGTGCGCAATTGGCTGCCGCGTTTCGCCCACAAAGAGTCAATTCACTTTACAATATATTCTGTGAAGCGCTTTGAGACATTTAGAAGACGTGAAAAGCGCTATATCAAATAATAATAATAATCCTTGCATTTGATATAGCACTTTTCACGTCTTCTCGACGTCTCGAAGCGCTTCACAGAATAGATTGTAAAGTGAATTGACAGCATATTTGTAGGCGAAATGCAAGGATAATTATTATTATTATTATTCACAAAAACGTTTGACAAAATTGCCCCTTTAAAGGGCAGTAATAATAACTTGGTTTTGTATTCCCCTCACTCTTTAGTCTTCATCCAGGTGATATTTATCCCTTCACACGGAAACCGTTGTTTTTAATTGTGGACTCCTCCAACAGCATAGCCTATAAGGTAAGCTAAAACCTGTTGTTCAGAAGCTCTGTTGCCACATGGTACATATTTAGCTGATTTGTAATCGGATTCAGGTGATATAAAGCTTTTTTTGTTTTAAAGCTGACATCTGTTCTGCTAATGAATATGATCATCAAGCTAAATCTAAAACCCAGGTTGCCATTTAGAGCTAACATTTCACGCTGCCCTTCTGTTATGGGAGTATAGCATCTGGTTTGTGTGCCATTCAAAAGTAAATATACACAGTCACTACACTTGATTGTAAATCCTGTGAAGGGCTTGGAGACGTCCTCCCAATGTGAAAGATGCTATACCCAATGTAAGTATTTATTATTATTAAACACAATTGATATTAACCATTAACTGAAAGTAAGACTTTGTGAGGTTTGCCCTCTCACTCTCCCCACCTCCAGAAAATGCTGGTCACTTTGCGCCTACTCTAAGGTCCCTTGCACAGTTATTCTCTGAAACACATGGACAACAAATCAATGTTATGTAATCCACCAAACAAGTTTTCAGGATGTTCACTTTTGTAAACGTATCGCCTTGTTCTATCCCACTGTCTTCCCTTCCTGCACCCGATATACCGTAATATCCAATCAACATCCCACGTTCTCTCCCCCCCCCCCCGCCCCCACTGCTTGAATTGGCACCTTTGAATTGATAATTATGCAGCATTACTTCTGTGTGTTTGTTCTGTGAACATAACAATTAAGGAGTGTTAATTTGTAGAAGAAATATTCAAAACATTTCAAATGCGTGCCAACCCCTGGTGTCTGTGCTTGAATGTGTGTAGATTTCAGAACGACTTTCTGCTAGTCGTGAGTCTTCCCTGCTCCATTCTGTCTGATCCCTGCCCGGCTTTTAATTTATGCATAATAGATGTCTAAAAAGCCTCTTGGCACTAAATGTTCAGTCATCTCACCTGCCTGCCATCCTCCATTCCATGGAGGGCAAATTGGATCTCAAGCCTCTAGGAGACAGCCATCTGCAAGTTTGTTTTTTCGAAGCTGAGGTAAATTTAAAGCTACACCTCATTGAAGTTGCTCTTCCTTTCATTTGAATATGGCCGAGCTCCTTGGCACAAGTGCCTATATCCCTGTTATCTCTAGAAGATGGTTGAACGGGTTTTCCAGAGGCTGCATTCAACCCAGTTTACCGCAGTGGATTCACCCAAGTTTTTAAAAAATCTCTTACTATTCATACTGTTAGCGCATTCTCTTGTTCATCCAGTTTACCATCTCTCCAACTGGACATCTGGGTAGGAAATCAGAGGAATGCTCCAAGGGAAATTGCAAGAGTGGGTAGCATCCAGGTGGAGGTGCTGCTGTAGTGTGGCTGCTTGAAAAGGAGACCAGGCTTGAGGACAGTGAGTTATTGCAGTTGTAATGCTCGCCTGCAGTTACAATCTCCCTGTTATCACTGCTCAGATTTGCAGCTGGTTTAGGGAGGGGGAAGGTGGGAGTGTGGCCTCATGCCCCAGTCAGACTCGCTCTGTGGCTGGCACAACCCCTGCACTGGATCAAGATGTGAAATCCCCCATTGAGAGAAAAGAGATACTCAACTATATTTGTGGAGTCCTGTAGTTTAGTGGTTAGAGCTATCGCCTCGCAAGAGAGAGGACCTGTGTTTGATTCCCGAGGCAGGGCAAAACATGGGGCAAGTTTCCTTACTCCAAACACTTGTTTACCTAGCAGTAAGTAGGAACCCGGTTGTTAGTCGATTGGCAGATCGCTTTTGGGGGGTAATCCCTTCAAAAAAAAATAATAATTTGGTCACTCAATCCACGATTGTGGGACACATCTGTGCGCAATTGGCTGCTGCGTTTCGCCCACAAAATATAAAGTCAATTCATTTATAGTATAAAGTATTATAGTATTGTGGAATCCTGTAGCTCAGTGGTTAGAGCACTCGCCTTGCAAGCGAGACACCTGGGTTCAATTCCAGGCAGGGCAAAACCGTGGGCAAGTTTCCTTACTCCACACACCTAATAATAATCCCTTCAAAACAAAACAATAATAAATTGGTGATTTTCAATCCACAACTGTTTGTGGGACATTGCTGTGCGCAATTGGCTGCCGCGTTCGCCCACAAATATAGTCAATTCACTTTACAGTATATTCTGTGAAGCGCTTTGAGACATCTAGAAGACGTGAAAAGCGCTATATCAAATGCAAGGATTATTATATTCTGTGAAGCGCTTTAAGATGTCTCAACGACTTCATAAGGTGCAATATCAAATGCAAGGTTTTTTTTAATTATATTTCTCTATTTAGTGGATATTGGTGCACAATGTGGAGTTCCCAAAATGGTTGTAAATGTTTATTTCAAGACCTTTCTAAATATGTAGCTTTAAAAGATGGACTTCTTTCTGTAAGTTAATCAATATGACAAGATTGGGGTGGGAGGAAGGAAATACAAATGGAATTTGTTTCCACAGAATTCTAATATGCATCATGATATGGATTAAACCAATGTTTTGAAAAATGATCTTCTGCTTGAGTATTTGTTTAAAGATGAATTGTCTCTTCAGAAGTCCAAGGTTTATCACAAGTTGGCTGGCCTCTGGGTTTAGAGTAGTCGTCTTTCAGAGGACAGGGAGAGGGTGGCTCGTGTTCCAGCACCTCATCTCATCAGGGAAGCAAAGCTGGTATTGCTGATTGTGAGGCCAGCCATCCTGTGGTAAGTTGATGCTCTTTTTGTTGCAAAGATCTTTTGCTGCTGTCTTTCAAACCTATTGATTAGGCTATTTTAGGAGCTTATCAATAATTTAGAGTTGTTTCTGGGATCTTATTCTTAGTAAATGAAATGATCAACTAAGGGCTTGATGCTGCATTGATTAACTGGATAAGTCTTTGCTCGAGATGGGGATTTGTCCATCTTCAAGCTTTTGCACAAGTGGTTGAAGCTCTGTGGGGTTTTTTCCGCATTGTGAGGTAGTTTACCCCAGTCAGACTCGCTCCGTGGCTGGCACAACCCCTGCACTGCACTGGATCAAGATATGAAATCCCCCATTGAGAGAAAGAGATACTCAATTATATTTGTGGAGTCTTGTAGCTTAGTGGTTAGAGTGCTTGCCTCGCAAGAGAGAGGACCTGAGTTTGATTCCCGAGGCAGGGCAAAACGTTGCCTAGTAAGGATGAATTTTAACATTGCTCATCTCACCGAGAAGAGCTGTTTTTGAGGCTGCTGTACTCAAACCCACAGATCTGTAATGAGCTTTGTGATTTATTTTGTAATAGTTGTCATGATTAAATTACCTTAAAGATTTCAATTTAAAACAATTATATTTTCAATGTAGGAATACATTTTTAAAAAAATCATGTTGAAACATAATAATCCTTTGAGATGTCTCAAAGCACTTCACAGAATATACTGTAAAATGAAATCACTGAATGTTTTGTGAGCAAAATATCAAGTAAATGTAGCAGCTGACGTGCACCTGTTGGGATGGCATGGAGGTGAATATGTTTTGGTGAAAATTTCAGATGAAGAAGGGGATTTGGGCAGGTTTATGGAGAATTGCTGTCTCAGCAGAAAACCAGAGCTTGGCATGGTGGCTTTAGTTGTACAGTATGTTAGTTGCTGTGCTAGTGTTTTCGCAAAAAATCCTCAGTGAGTGAAAATCGTCTATGCTCTGGCATAAAGGGAGGAAAATCAAATAGGACCTTCCAAGATACTACTATAAATGTTCCTGCTGTGAATAGCATATTGCTAAAGACTGCTCAAAAACCGTATACAGTGAACCGTGTTGTAATCAGTCTTGAAACTGACAGGTTACCTCATGTGAAACTGATAAGAAGGGAATAACTGCCGCTCGAACATTTTACATCCCAACTAAAATGGCTCCTCTTCATATCTGCGAGGATCTTCAGGCTTTCCAACACAACTGTTTAAATGTGCTGCCAGGTTCATCCAGCCCGGTTTTCCTTCATACAAAAACCTTAGTTTTTTTAAAATTAAAAAAAATCTAGTGTAACTGTTGTGCAGTGTCAGATCCTACCCAGAGGGCTGTATTAATGCCTGTATTGAGGTGAATAATGCAATGGTGTTCTCTATAGTTCATTAGCAGCGATTCTACATTACTGTAGGGAGACAAAAGACAAATGGTAATTGGTCTTCTGCAGCTGCAGTCCTTTTTCCCCCGATTTGTGTATAATGGTGTGTTTTTTTCTAAAAAAAAAGTTTGCTTTGTCCTGGTCAGGAATCCTTTGTAATTCATCCCTAAATTGTCAGGCCAGCTGCTTAAATTATTGAAGCATGCATTTAAATAAATAGGGACAGTATGTAGGTGTATTTTATTATATAATGTATTTACTTACACAAGTAAAGATTTGCTCTACTGCTTGCAAGATTGTATGATATTGGTTTGTGTTTAGTGGAATCAAATCTATACAGCCTCACACATCTGGAAGATCATTTAGGGTCCATTTCTCACAACTTGTGCATTCTTTTCCTATTAAATGCTCTTGGTTCCCTCTGGTGCCCAAAGGATGTCATAACATCTCAGTGGTAACTGCAGAAATTATGATGATTAATGAACTATAACAAACTTACTTATTTGAGAAGGTGTCCACAAAAATGATTAAAACAATCATATTCACCATGAATTGAAACTGTTTGTGGTGGATGTTTTAGAACTTTCTTTTGCGGCGACAAGTTGCTGATTCAGAATACGACAATTTCTCCCAAGTTGTTGCTCCAGGTTAACTTTAGTTACTCCATCAGGTGTGGCAATCTCAGAGTAAAACTACCTTTGCTCTCTCCAATGTTTGACCTGAACCCCCACCTCAAAAAGCAAACACCCATTGCTGTGCAGTGATGAGTTTTCTATGGCCGTTTCCTTGTCCTCTGGGGGCATTGCCAAATTCAAATCATGGGGCGTTTAAAGGACAGATGGAGGCAATTTGTTCCTTGGTGTTAGCTCAACCAAAGGAGCTAATCTATAATATCTGTTCTAATCCCATTCCCATATCCCAGTGACTAGTCTGCTCATCTGAGTCCTGCCAGAGAGCCAGGATGGTTGGTCTGTCATCAACAGTACTTTGAAGTACTGTGGACCCACCGAGTTCAGGAATTGGATCAGTACTGAGAATTGGTGTGATTGGGATATTCCATTGCATTTCACCTATTCTTTCTTCTCTCTCCCCCCCCCCCCCCTCCCCCCAGGGTAAGGTTGAAATGGAAAGAGCACTCTTCTCTCTCTCCACATGACTTACATACATTGAGGAGGCTGACACTATTGGAGATTACGTTGATTCGATTATCCAAACAGTTTTAAGATTTTATGGGGCTTAAAGGGAATTAGTTTAATCTTTTTAACATTATTGAATTAAAATACTTACTTGGACAAAGCCATAAGGCATTCACTTTTGTATTTGTGTCTCAGCATTGACTTCAACTCTACTGGAATTAAGCATACAGTATTTGCATTTCCAGTGATAAAAACAGCTAATTAATTAGAATATTGCCCTAATGAAATGCACAAGTCTATAATATAATCAAGTGTTTTAGGTGATTTGTTTTTTAACTTTTTACTGAATTGCATCTGAACCACACAGTGGTTTTCTATTTCTTGTTGTTCAGCAAACATCTCCTATAAAGCTCTGCAACATGAAACTACTACTATTAATAATCCTTGCATTTGGTATAGTGCCTTTAACAATTTGCAATTATATAGCACTCTTCACACAGGGTAGAATCTGGAATTGCTTCACAGTGACAACAAACCAAGGGGAGAGGGTGGGGGTAGGTGACCGTAAGCACGATCAAAGGAAGATCTTTAGGCGGGATTTGAAGTTGGGGAGGGAGGGAGGGAGCAAGAGAGAAAGTTCCAGAGTTTCAGGGCTTAGTGGCTGAAGGCATGGCCACCGATGGTAGAGTGGAGGGTACGAGGGACAATCATACAATTAGAGGCCATTTGGCTGTGCTGGCTCTTTGAAAAAGCTCTTTGAACCTTCTCTGCTCCAAGGAGAATAATTCCAGCTTCTCTAGCCTCTCCCGATAACTGCAGTCCCTCATTCCTGGTACCATCCTGGTAAATCTCCTTTGCACCCTCTCCAATGCCTTAATATCTTTCCTAAAGTGTGGTGCCCAGACCTGAACACAGTCTGTAGCTGAGGCCTAACCAGTGTTTTATAAAAGGTTTATCATAACTTCCTGACTTTTGTATTCTTTGCCCCTATTTATAAAGCCTTGTATCCCATATGCTTTTTTAACAGCTGTATCTGCCTGTCCGGCCATCTTCAAAAGATTTACTATATGACCCCCAGGTCTCTCTGTCCCTTCACCCCCTTTAAGATTGTACCATCAGCGTATATTGCCTCTCCTCATTCTTAACCCAAAATGCATCACTTTGCATTTCTCCACATTAAACTTCATCTGCCCCGTGTCTGCCCGTGTTACCAGTCTGTCTATGTCCATTCACAGTCTGTTACTATCCTCCTCACTGTTCACTACTTTTCCAGCTTAGTATCATCTGCAAACTTGGAAATTGTACTCTCTATACCCAAGACAATTAGGAGGATGGCGCCAGCCGAGCAGTGGCAGGGGTGGTGGAGTGGGCGACAAGCAGGTCCGATAGGTAGGGTGGTGCGAGGGAATTAAGTGATTTGAAAACGAGTGCGACGATCTTGAAGTTGATCCATTCGGTGGTTGGAAGTTAGTGGAGCTTGGTAGGGACTGGCGTGGTGGGACTATGTCGTTGAGAAGTCTCAAAGCGCTTCACAGAATATACTATATAAAATGTAGTGACTGTATATTTTGAGTGAGAAATACAGCAGCCAATTGCACAATGTTTTATATCACAAATAAAACACTGAGCAGGAGCCTGAATTAATTTGTGTTTTTTTTTAATCTCCCACAGGAAGGTCTATTGTAACTGTTAAACTGACCTCAAACCTATGAGCCCAAACCATAATGGGTAGTGCTGCACTTGTACCATGCTGTTACCAGAAGCATCAAACCTGATTTTGACAAGCAGTGATGTTGGAATTCATTTTATTTGCTCTGGCAAATAATTGCAAACATTTCATTTGATCCAAGCGTTCTGGGACACTACCCTGTGTGAGGGGTGCTGTATAAATTCAAGTTATATACTGATGCAGGAGAAATGTCATAACCTGCATTAGTGAAATACAGTAGTTTGAAAATCTCTCCAAACCCTACTTCATATTTGAAATTTACCTTGAGTACCGAGCTGTTTTTGAATTCTTTCAGATGCTATGTTTTCAATTTTAATATGAGCAGCAGAGATCCAATGCGGCAATCTATAGATCTTCCTCCAGATGAAAGTTCTGCTGTACTCGGAGCTATTGAGTTTTAAAGCTGTATTTTATGACGTGGAAAATGATTGTGTCTGTACTGAAGTTAATTTACTGTATTTTACATGTTGGGTGCCTATGATTTACTTTCATATAGTTTGTACAACAACAATGACTTGCATTTATATATTGGCCCTCACACAGGGTCGCATTCCAGAATGCTTAGGTTTGCTAGCTAGTCTGCTAGTAGTTGTGGCCTGTTTTTGTGGAAAACAATTTGTTGGCTCCTGAATGGTCTCTACAATCCTCAAAGCAACAAGACAAATCCTAAACCTGCAGCTTTACATTCCATCTTCACCTGAGGTTTGAGGAGAAGTCATTATGAGCAGAACATGTAATAAATGTTTCTTGGCCATTCTAAAATCTAGTGTTTTAACATCAAATGTATTAACAAATGTGAATATCTGGTATTTTGTGATATGCTATTTTTTAAATAAACAAAAGTATCAAACAAATTTAGATTGAAATTTCTTTTCTTTTTTGCAGAATTTTACCAATTTGTTTGGCCAGCCTTTAGTCTGCTTACTCTCTCCAACAGCTTATCCCAAAGGTATACAAGGTATGGACCTCGTCCTCTGACTAGAAATAGAAATTGGGATTTCTTCAACTTCAACTGCTACTCTGGTCACCATGTAGAACAATATGTTTCTAAATTATTACCTTAAGGTGCAGTGTGATTCTAATCAATATCCAACTGGCTTTGACCTCCAGTTTGAGATGATCCAAATGATTTGCCTGTTATTATTGATGGGAATGATTAAATTGAGGAATCGTTTTGCAGAGTGTAATAAGTGGATAGTTTGGATTAAATGTCAGCAGCAATAACATGTTATTGTAATAAAAATAAGACAATGACAGGATGAATCGGGCTGACAAAGATCTGTGCATTTATCTCCCAGATCAGTCCCAACGGGGAAGCCTCTTCACACTCTTTCTCTACAATCCTTTGATGGCCTTCGTTTTCATGTGTCGACTCACGAACATGAGGAAAGCACTATGGGATCAATGTCAGGAGTACCTGCGCAGGATGAACATTGAGATAGTGCAGCTGTTAACTCAAACACGGACTATAGGTGAGTAAAGAATGGGAAAAACTCCCATTTGCTTTCATATTACAGCATGAAAACGGTCCTGGCAACTTGCTACCGAAGGTTTTGTTCATTCTGTATTTGTTTACACACGATTGCCTCCTTTCAAAGTATGCCCCATATTTCTGTACAAACCATCGGTTTAAATTTGAAAGTGACATTAATTAGAACCTGCAGACTGGTTGTTATAAGATCAGTGGTCTCAGTCACTCTATACAATTGTTTACTAACTGAATAATTCCCTCGTTCTCTGCTCTGACCAACCATTGAAGTAAATTTCACGAGCCAACTGGTTTGTTGCAATTGCCTCGTTTTGCCTCCATACTATATTGAGGGGAGACCAGCCCTCCTGGGGCATACTTAACCACCTCACTCTTTCTGAGATCCTAACTTCAGCTTTAACTGTTTCATTTTGTTGAGACAGTGATATAAGATTTATGATGGCAAGAGTAAAATCTTCTAACCACAGTCTAGAATGATGCTCATGAAGCTATAGAAGAAAAGACCATCAAAGCCTGATCCTTTCAGAGGCATGCAAATCCCACTAGGCAATACCACGGACTTAAATCTTAACACCTATGCACACACAAAAACACCACACATAAAACACCTCCAGGACACAGAAATTCTTACAAATCTAACCCCCAAGAGATGACTTGACTTGTTTGGGGAAGGGGGAGAGGAAAAGGAGAGTGAACAAAGATGAGTCTTGTTTCTTGTTGCAGATCAAGCATTCCTTCAGTTTTTTGGAGATGATTTTCTGCGATTATTGCTGATCCGGTTTATCCTCTGTTCTGCAACTATGAGACTTCACAAAATGTTCAGGGTAAGTGTTTCAGTACCCATGGTTCTACCTCAGATCTGTGACTAGGTTAAATAATGGGTTTGTAGGAATTACCTCTGCTACTGCGGTAACCTTAGAACCAAAGGCGTAAAGTGAATTAAAAATTGTGACCCATAGTTGGCTATTATCTCATTTCATTGCATTATTTTCAATATAATTCTTTCTATTGACCCTATATATGTGACCAGCTAAAAGATTTAGCGGGCATAATTATTTCTAGGCCTGCACTAAACTACTACATTTCTCCCATTTATCCGAAGCATCTAGCTTCCCCTTTTGCTCGTCTCGCTTAGATGCTGAACAGTGGTAATTACAGTAACTTTCTAATATGTACCTGTATGGGAGAGCCTGCAGCTATTGAGTGAAGCTTTAATCTTTGTTTCCACCTTTCTCTGCTCCTCCTTTTCCCCCTACCCTGAAAAGGAAACTCGGAATTACCCAGAAACTTACCCACAGCTGCAGAAAGAAGACACTGTGGAGAACCCTCTACTCCAGAACCGCATTCTAGAATTGGCTTCCTTGTTGGATGTTCGAAGCCTTTTCATGGAAAACACCACTGATGAAGATTATTAGGGGAAACCTCTTCCTTTTAAGCCAATGGTTCTGCAGGAGACCTATTTTGCACCTACCTGTAGGAATAACTTACAAGCAATTCTCTTCGCACATTGGAAGTTCTTATATCATCAGACAATTTCTTAAGACTGATGCACCTGGCACAATTCTATCATAGATTAAGCATTTCCATAATTGCAATGTATTAATGTATTGTGAACAAAAAGATTAACATGGCAGGCCAGAAAAGATTTCTAAAATACAGTTAGCTGAATAAGGGCATTTACAGAAAAAAAAGCAATAGAGGCTTTTTGAGAATTTTCACACGTATCACATGTTGCATTGAAATGGTGGTGGATGTTCATAGTATCACCTTTTAACAGTGTTTCGTAAAATCTTATAGCATCGATGTGTGTTTAAAAAAAAGAGCTGTTGCCCATAATTTCATCTTTCATTTTGTGAGTTGTTGCTAAACCTCATGCTAGCTGTGGTCCTGTTTGTCATAAGTTAGACTTTTTGTGGAAGTTCTGGTTTGATGAAAACAGTCCCCTAGGTTACAGTGAGTTAGATACTGACCGACTGACTGACTGGAAGCCAGGGATGGGTTTATTGTATGCACGTTACCTGATGCTGTCGTGCACTATATCAGATGAACTTGCTTGTTTAGTGAATGAGAGGCAAGCACAACCAGGAGACCAGTGAGGCTGAATTCTGGAGATCAAGGTATGTGTGTATCGTTTCACATTAACACAAGTGTTGCAAACACTGTAAACTCCAGTTCTATCCAGCCGTGTGTTTTCCACAGATGATAATTGTGTGCATGAAATAATTGCGTTTTTATTCCTAAATAAGTGTCATTCTGGGGCATCGTGGATGTCCTGGTGGAATTTTGCTGAACCTTCTCACCTTGTCTTTACACGAATAACAGATATTACATGTAGAAATTGTTGGTAAAATGTACCGTTGCTGAGTTTCTGAAAGACTGGTAGGATTAGGTAAGTGAAAGGTTTTATTCGGTGTCCTTGCCATATAACATAATGATTAGTCACTCATGGTTACTAGTATTGTGCTGCACAAGTCATTTTTGTTCAGCATTACAAGGCTGCTATTTTTTTAAATACATATACTTGAAGCAAGGATTTTGTGAAAATGCTTTGGTATTCATACCTTTGCCAAATAGACTTTGTATATTTAATATTAGTTGCTATTAATATATTAGTGTAAACTCATCTGTTTTTTTCAATAGTTTTTTTGTTTCTCTTCTCCCACCTCTCCTGAAGATATTGACTCTTGTTGAGATACAGTTCCACAGGCACTGGGTGTCATTGGCGGTGAGGAAAATATTCTTTGGGGGTGGGAGGGTGAGTAAAACTCAAAAGGCCCTTTAAAGGAGGTAAGCTGTTGGCTTGATTGACAGGTCCATCAGCCACTCAGAGGTGAAAATGCCCCAACAATCAGCCACGAGACAAAATGGGCGGATGTCACCAACATCTTACATTTAAATGGCATCCTTCAAACGGGGTGGCATTTCGGAGAAAGATGGGCCTAAAAGTGGGGTCTTCTCGGAGAACTGACTGTGGTTCTCCTCAGGGCTTTCCCCTCCCAACTCCAAAGAAGTGAAGTGTAGATAGAGGGGGGGGTGCAGGCTGAGCCCCTCCAGCCCGAGCCGCCTGCCTATGCGAGATGTCCCGCTCTCCCGGTATGTCGCCCAAAGCATCATTAATGTGCGAGCCTGGACACTGAGTGTCAATCGGCTGTTCTCTTGTCTGCAAGTGTGAGCCTAGACACTGAGTGTCAATGGGCCACCATGAGGAGCATCCAATCCTGTTCTCCACGTGCACTTTCCAGTAAAGGTTGCTGGAAAACTATCAGGAGTGGGAACCTCGCTATCTCATAAAATGCTTTTCATGCTTATTTCCACATGTTATGCATCCTGTTTAAAACAAAGTTTGTTTAGAGCTAGTGTTACCTGCTAGAATGTTTAGGAACATTTTCTGAATTGTACTCTTGTGAGATTTCTCCTAGTATGAGGATGTAACCATTATACCATGCAAGTACAATTTTTAAATTATGACTGTGTTAATGATCTAATATTCTGTCAGTTGAACCTCTGTCTTGTTTTTAAAACCTGTATGTGTTTGGAATTAAATGCTATTCTAAGAAATGTAAAATCAGTTTAACGTAATTGGTAGAAGGTAAATGGTCACCCCTTGGGTAACAAGACATTGAAGCATTAATTGTTTTGCTTTGTGATGTTGCTTGAAGAATGGAGGCAATGATTATTGTAAATAATCACAACGAAAAAAGGTTAAAAAGGTTTAAATGAGTCTGTATGAACCGTATCATTCAAAAATGATTGGCTCCTGAGCTACAGCTTTTAAACAGGCCATTTAGCATGACATTAGATTTAAATGTGGTCTTTTGCTACCATCTTGAAGGAAAATTATTCAAGATGAAAGCAGAGTTCTATACTTTTAAATTATATTTAAAAGAATGCGCACACTGGAGAATTTTCTCACTCTGCACATTGAGTCTTGTGATTAAAGTAACTGTTGTATATTTTTGTTTCTACTGTCTGTAATAAATGTGTAATACACTATGTTTTATCAAATGAGACTCAATAATGAGATTACTAAAACTGTTAAACTTTTGTATACTGTTCAATTGAGTGGTCAGATTCTTTTTAAAAGTTACCTTGGCTTCAGCGTTCAGTCATCCATTTGGAATTTATTGTGATCTTGTCAGTACCAACCAGCTTCAAAGCTGACAAGTTAACCGGACCAGAACATAATCAGAGCACTGTGTTAATACTGCGGGCACTTTAATTATTGAAGAACCACAGTCCCTTTAAAACACATTGGTGTTTTCTACCCCATCTGTTTCCTGACAGAGCCGCCACCTCTCCCCACCCCCCGTGGAAGGATCCACACAGAGCCTAATAATAATCCCTCCCCCCGTGGAAGGATCCACACAGAGCCTAATATTTTTTAAAACACAATAATAAATTGGTCATTTTCATCTACGACTGTTTCCTGACAGCTGTGCGCAATGGGCTGCCGCCACAAATATACAGTCAATTCACTTTACAGCCTCTCCTGTGAAGCGCTTTGGGACGTCCTCCCGACGTGAAAAGCGCTATATCAAATGCAAGGATTATTATTATTATTATTATCTGTTTGATAAAGTGCTGCTTTGTTCCTGTGTTTAGTGCACGTACTTATTCGGATTCCCTGTGAGCCACAGGTTGCTGCAGGTGGAGGGCAACACCACTAAGCCCTGTTGTTGCCGTCGATTTCCCTTCTGCTGCGCCCCCCCCTCCCCCCGTGTCACCGAGCAGTGTCCTACAATGAGACGAGTCTTGGCTTTTTTTGAGATGAATGAAGGTGCAGAGAAGGCTGAAGACAATCCCTGCACCAACAACAACACGTGCAGCAGTCTGGCAGACAGGCGAGACTCGGGATAACGGAGAGCAAACCGCTGACTCCATTTTCTTTCCACTATTAACCAGAGATCGGCGATGGCTGAGCTCTCCCTCCGGTTCACTGCTGACCGCTTGGCGACGGTCAGCCTAACCTGATAGCAGGACGCCGCTTTGGCTTTGATTGACGGCCCGAGTGACCAATCAATGGGTTGCGCGACCACGTAGCCCTCCCGCCTCCCGACTGGCAGGAAGCGATCCGATAGGCGGGTGGACGCGGGGCCGCCGCCAGCACGTTCGGCTGCGCCTGAGCCGTTCGGATGACGTTGGGAGTCGGCGGCCACATCGGCTGAGAGATGAGGGACACCGAGCGGCGGCGGCGGGCGGGCGGAGCGCGAGGCCGCGGTCACACCGGGAGGCGCCGCCGCTAACGCGCAAAAAGGTACCATTTCCATACGTTTACTGAGGAGAAAAAAAGTTTGAAACTCGGTTACCGGGTGGTCCTGAGGCCATCGCTCTCTCTCTCTCTCTCTCCCCGCCCCTCAGTCTGGAACTTTCGGCTCCCGGGGAGTCACTCCCGTTAGGTTCCGCCCGCGCTCAGTTGGCGGGAAGGGAGACCCTGTTAGAAGACGCCGCTGCCATCGACAGCGGCCGGTTACCTGCTGTTTAGTCGGTTACCGCCGCTCTCTTTAGGCCGCTGTGCCGCCCAAGCGCCGCGCCGGAAGTGCCGCCCTCCCGGCAGCGACCAAAAACAGTCCAATGGCGTGGCCGCCCGGCCGCGATGCCGCTTTGCTATTGGTTGACATCACCGCCGCCGCCTGTCACTCACCCTGACGGGCGGGCGGGCGGGCTGTCAGTCACCGGGCAGTGTCCGAGAGGCTGAGGCGCCGTCAGCTCGGGGACAGCTTCAACTCGGTGTCGGTGCGTCCGGCCCTCGAGGGCTCCTCCGGGTTTAGGTCCTGTGGCGAAGCAATGCAATGGAATAGCGGAGGAATTCCCTCCTGATTTTCAAAGGTTTGCAATGTTTTCTTTTATATGTTGTACACACACACACAGTGACATCAACTTAACTTTTAAAACAAGTTTTTTTTTGTTCATTGTAATAACAATCCTTGCATTTGATATCGCGCCTTATCACATCTCCGAGACATCTCAAATGCTTTGCAAAAAATCCTGTAAAGAGAATTGACTGTATATTTTGTGGGTGAAACGCGGCGGCCAATTGCGCACAGCGGCGTCCCACAAACAGCCGTGGATTGAGTGACCAAATTATTATTGTACAGTTTAATAAAATTAAGATAAAGTACAACTGGGAATTGTTGTGAATGATTAACGATGAGTCATTGTTACACAAGTCACTAACTGATTTGACACTAACCGGTTGATATCGTAAACCTCTCCTTTGGTACTGTTCCCACCCCCTTTAAAAATCACTGTCATCATTCCTATCCTTTTTTTAAAAAAAAACTCTCCATGGACCCTTCTCTACTCTCTTAACTACAGTCCCATCTCCAACCTCCCCTTCCTCTCCAAGGTCCTGGAATGAGTTGTTGCTTCTCAGCTTCGCTCCTTCCTCTCCCGCCACTCCCTTCTCAAACCCCTCCAGTTGGGCTTCCACCCACAGCACAGAAACCGCCCTGGTCAAAGTGACAAATGACATTCTGTCCATCTGAGACCAGGGCTTCCTCTGCCTCCTCGTCCTCCTTGACCTCTCTGCTGCTTTCGACACCATCGACCGCTCTATCCTCATCCACCTCCTCTCCCTTCACCTCAACCTTCACGGCGCTGACCTTCATTGGTTCAGATTGTGCCTCTCGCACCGCCTGCACTTCATTTCCTCAAACGACTTCTCCTCTAGCCCCCGGACCGTCTTGTGCAGCGTTCCTCAGGGCTCTGTTCTTGGTCCCCTCCTCTTCAGTATTTATATGCTCCCTCTTGGTGACATCATTCGCAGACATGGTGTCAACTTCCACACGTATGCGAATTACACCCAACTCTACCTTTCTGCCTCCACCCTTGACTCCAGGACCCACTGCTGTCCTGACAGAATGTCTGTCAGACATCAAGTCCTGGATGAGAGATAACTTTCTTCAGTTGAACGTCAACATGACCGAGGCTCTCCTGATTGGCTCCTGTCAGCACCTCCTCACCTCAGCCGCTGACAGCATCACCATCCATGGTTGCACACTCCACCTTACTAAGCCAGTCTGGAACCTTGGGGTCTTGTTTGACCCTCAACTATCCTTTCTACTCCACATCTGCGCCATGACTCGCTCTGCCTTCCCCCACTTCCACACCGTCGCCCGGCTCCGATACTGTCTCACACAGCAGGCTGCCGAAACCCTCATACACGCCTTCAATACATCGAGGTTTGACTATGCAAACTAACTGCTTGTTGGCCTCCACAACTCCTCCCTCCACAGGCTGCAGATCATCCAGAACTCTGCAGTCCATGTCCTCTCCCACACCAGGCTCCGTGACCCTATCACCCCCATCCTTGCCCAACTCCACTGGCTTCCCATCACACAGAGGATACAGTTCAAGATCCTGGTCCTCACCTTCAAAGCCCTCCATGGTCTTGCTCCCCCCTCCCTCTCCGACCTCCTAACCCCCTACCAGCTGTTTGCTCCCTCCGCTCAGCGGGCTCCTGTCTGCTTCACAGGAAACACTTTGAAATCCTGGGAAGCACTTTGAGACGTCTCAACGACGTGATAAGGCGCTATATCAAATATCAAATGCAAGGATAAATATTATAATTGTCAAATTGACTACGTCACCCTCTCACGTCACATTTTCTGCCCATTTATCTAAACAGTGTATTGATAGTAGTGTAGGCAGAAACTGAATCTGACATGGGAAGAGATGCTGAATTAAGAATTGATACAATACAAAATTGTCAGGAGGACGTCCCAAGGCACTGAACGGTCATGTATTTGGACCCGAGCAGGGGAGGTGGGTTGGGAGGGTAGGAGGGTGGTTGAAGGTACGGTGGAAAAGGAGGATCTTAAGACGTGCCTTGAAGGAGGCGACGGGAATGTGGGATGGAGTTCCAAATGGTGGGGGCAGAGAGGCTGAAGGTCCAACCGCCAATCGGCTGGGGCAGGCCGGTGGGGGACTTGGAGCAGGCCGGAGTCCGCTGAGCAGAAATAACAGACAGATTGATATGGCATTAGCAGGTCACAGAGGTAGGAGGGGGCAAGGCCGTGGAGGGTCTTGAAGGCGAGGACAAGGATTTTGATCTCCATCCTCTGAGGGATGGGGAGCCAGTGGAGCTGGACGAGGGTTGGAGTGATGGGATCATGGAGCCTGGTGTGGGAGAGGACCCGAGCTGCAGATTTCTGGATGTTCTGCAGCTTGTGGAGGGAAGAGTTGGGAAGGCCGACAAGCAGGGAGTTGGTCGCTTAAGACTTTTAAGTTGACGAGTTGGTTGCTTAGGACTTTTTCAGATTTCCTCATGCGTGTGTTCAATTAACTTTTCTGACCATTCCCCAGTTATGTATTTTCAGTTTATCATTGGAAAAAGCAATGACTTCTAGCCTTTTTTAAAAAAAACTATTATATCACTTATTCCATGCAAGTTGTAAATGTTGCACTATTGCTGTGTGCAATTGACTGCTGCGTTCTGCCCACAAATATCCAGTCAATTCACTTTACAGTATATTCTGTGAAGCGCTTTGAGATGTCTAGAAGATGTGAAAAGCGCGATATCAAATGCAAGGATTATTATTATTTCACGGAAACAGACATTGTGAATTTGGATTAACTGAGATTGTACAGGGTGACCAAAATGTCTTTTCAACTACTCTATTATCTAAAAAAAATCATAATTTCTTTAAGGCTTATTTGACATTGTAATGGTATCATGACTTTTTGGTCACCCTGTATAATCCAAACATCTGGTGCTCATGACGTGATGTTTGAGAAGCTTTCTTGGAGCATTTTAACTAGCCTCAGAAACTTATTAGTAACCCAGGGATATTAAAACTATATCCCCATATTTTATCATTATGAATATAGGCAACAACAACTTGCATTTATACAGAACCCTACATGAGGGTAACACTTCATTTGGAGCACTTCAGTCTTTCTTCTGATTGAAAACAATTTTTTTTAAAGAAATATTGCATCCCCCCCCACCCCCCAGCTCCATGGTTTAGTATTTCTCAAAGAGCTTGATGCCATCAGTGTAGTCTCCTTCAGCTGACGGTGTCACAGTAGATCATCTACCAAGCTCTCAGGTGGCTCTAACGGAGCACATTCAGCATTTGACACTCCACAACCTCCTGCTGTAAACCTCATGAATTTAGAGTTTGAAGCTGGCAAGAACCTAAACTGCCAAATCCTTTTTTTGCGAGGATTGTTAAACGTATTTAATATGAATGAATTTAGGGATGAATAAAGGTGCTGTTATGCTAATTCTGTTTGTTTGGCAGCTGCTTGTTGCTTGATGGGATGTAAAGGCGAGCCTTATTAACGAGTGTTTATTATTTCAACAAGAAAAGTTGAACACTATCCATCAGGTACAAACCCGAAGCTTGAGACAGGCTGGTATCACTTGGTTATTAAGGCAGTCCTGCCTGCAGACAGTTTGGAACTCTCCTCTATAAGGACAGCAGCTAAAGCATGTTTGCTAAACTAAAAAAGAAGATTGCTGAAGAGGGCGGTGCATCGCCTCGGCCCGGGACGGCTCGGATTCCACGATCGTTCAGCAGAGAGTCCATTACCTCCGTCGGAGCTGACTCGGGCGATGACATTGTACGTATAAGCCACTTCTGATCAATTCTTTTCATAGATTGATCAGTGTGTCTAGGGAGAAGATCTTAGAAGTTGTATTGAAAGTCTGAGCAAAAGAGGCATCACTTTCGCTTTAAGAAGCTGTTCATTTCCTCCAGAAAGAAATACTTCCTATCTTTTGCTCAGACTTTTCAAGCAACATTTTTAAAAATCTTGCATGTGTTCAGCATACCAGTGTGTTATACGCATGTAATCTACTTAACAAGTGCCCAGTCCTGTCCTATTTTTAACTTTAATTAAAGGACAAAACTGTTTTTCATTGAATCTGAAAACTTTTTGTTCATTCAGTATCCTGCCTTCTATAGGATATTGGTGAACCTCACCCTTTGTGTTACTTTGGGTAAATTTTCCCTATACGTGCCTTATTTTGTGGCAAGTACTATAAAACAGTGTGTAAGTTACGGGGTTACCAATTATTTATTCATCTGTTAAGTTTTATTCAGTTTGCAAACTAATAAGCATTGTGTCTTCTATTGGACTATTGAACGAGGTGAAATATATGTCCTTGCAGGGCTGTGTATAATGGCTGTTAGTGGATTGCTTTTCCGGGGGTAATAATCCCTTTAAACATAAGTAGTAATTTGATCACTCAATCCATGATTGTTTGTGGTGCACTACTGTACGCAATTGGCTACCACGTTTTATTCATAAAATGTACAGTTAGTTCGCTTTACAGTATATTCTGTGAAGTGCTTTGAGATGTCTCGAAGATCCTTCCACTATATCAAATGCAAGGATTATTATATTATTATTTTGTTTCCCGTGTGTGATGTGACTGTCTGTGGTTTTCTGCATTGTGAGGATGGATGGCTGACACTGTGTAAAAGAAGTGGGAGATTAATTACTACTCGTGCCTCTTGATTTGCACGATACACGTTAACAACAACATTTAATTACATTTATATAGCGCCTCTCATGTCGGAACCATAATAAAGAATTTTATTCCTTTTTTTCATTGCTCTTGCCAAGGCATCTGACAGCAGCTGCCCTCGCGAGGACCTCTTGTCTCAGCTGCTCCGGCGAAATGACCAAGTTCGAAAGCTGGAAGTCAAACTATCAGGTACCTGCTTTGGTCAGGAAATGGTAACTGTGCAGAAAGTGACATAACCCGTTAACAATTCTCCAGCAAGTTAGAATATGTTGAAAATCATACCTCTTCCAACTATAGGCCAGTTATTTTTAACATTAAAAGTATTGTCCTAATCGTGTTTATAAATGTCAAGGTATGATGGCAGTTTTATACATCTGGAAATGAGCAGTTGTTTAAGTGCTCCATCCGCCTAGATGAGGAGTGGTGCATTTAGCTGGGGAGGACTCAGATTTCTACTCATAAACCTGATTTCACATGGTCTTTGATCAAAGACAGTTGCTTATTATTCATTTCAGTCCCACAGATCATGTGTCTTCTATCCTGTAACCATTGTACCCTGTCACTAAAGCAAACCTGCGTCAGACAGTATCAAATTGCTGGGTGGTGGAAGTATTGTGTTCTACAACAGAACTGAAAACCTGGTTGTTTATCCAGGCAAAACTAGTAAATGTGCCTCTGTAAAGTGTGCTCCCATTCCAGAGGGAACCAGTCTGTAGCATTTACTCTGCACTTTAAAGCGGAGTAGAGATGCATTTGACGCAAATATAAATGATCAGGTACTGTCCAAATAAGGCTAAAAGATAATTAACATGGAGTCTGTTTACACTCAAACCTGTGGGAGGAGTTACATAGGTTTGCCATTATTATTCAGATTTTCTGGCGTGTGCTGCTTGGGGAGATTTTGCCCTGTGTTTTGAAACTTATAAGGCCGAATGAAATAAATATTGGTCCATTTATGGGCCGACGGGCTTTGCCCAGTCCCTAAATTCCTAGATTTCTGTGTAACCTGCCTTGTTTTGTGATCTTTGGCCATTGTGGAGCATCTGAATTGTGGGAGCTGTGAGGTAGAGCAGAGAGAGATTTCCCTGATTATTGTTACCATGGTGGTGTACTGAAAATTCCTCAGGACTTGTGACAAGTCAAGAGTGCAGCGATATTTCTGAATTTTGATTGGTGTCAGTTGCTGTTACAAGCATATTGTGAGAGAGGTGCGATGGCTCTAACTGGGTGAAGAAAGATTATTTTCAATGATTTCTCCTTGCACCCAATTCAGACAATTAAAATCTTTAAAGCCTTTTAGCTCAACCTGATCCAATTTCTACCATTTCTTTCCCTAATATACTCTGATGTGACTTCCCAGTTTAGATCTTTCCTTTTCCCATCAGCATGTTAAGGGGAGGTCATTAATGCATGTTCTCCTTAACAGTAATGATTTTCTGTTGGGGAAAATCATTTTCATCCTCCACTCATGATTATCCTGTTTTTGTTTTCCTTTTTTGCCTGTTTTGACCTCCTGGCCTGCGTTCCCTCTCCCCTAACACAAGATTATGCTGAGCAGCTGCGAAGCTTGCAGAAGACCAGAGAGAAGCTTGAGATTGCATTAGAAAAACATCAGGATTGTACGTACATCGGTTTTATTTATTGTTTATTTGAGTCATTCAACTTCACTGAGCTCTTCCGATTGTAACACATCTTTTTCTACTGGCTTGTGATATGAAAAGAAATGATAAAAAAAAATTGGTGGTCACTCGCCCACAAAATATATAGTCAATTCATCTTACACTATACTCTGAAGCGTTTTGAGACGTCTCGAAGATGTGATAAAAGGCTATATCAAATTCAAGGATTATTATTAAATTAAAAAAACTTACTCTTTCATTTGCTGCTGATGTTTTAAAGAAATAAATAAGGATGTGATAGCATTGAGACAAAACTTTGAAGAGACTTACAACACGCTTTTCCAAAATAAACTTTTTGCTTCCTTCGGAATGTCTCGTGACTTTTATAGATCGTTTGTTAAATTAAGGATTTGTTTTTGTGACATCAGCAAGCGAACGCTGTTACATTTGCATCATAGTTTGTGTTCGATACTTTACTTCAGTTTGACTCAGTGCAGGATGATGACTTGTGTTTTTTTGTGTTTGAACTTGAATCAGCCTCGATGAGGAAGCTTCAGGAGCAGAATGAGGCTTACCAAATCAGCAGAGCAAAGATGGCAGAAGGAATGACACTGGCCTTAAACAAAAAGGATCAGGTAACTGCAAGCCGAAAATTAAATTCATGTCAAGCTTCCGTTCGGATTCTTACTCTAAGCCAAAGCACTTGCTCAGCTTGGAGTGTGGGAGGTATCTGAAAGGCCGATGATATCACTGATTTCGATTCACATCTTGTCGGTTTTGTGAAGACGAGGAAGTATAGCCGTGCTGCATGGATAAATTCTGTGGACATAACCAGCGAGAAGTTTTGAAATTCTGCTGCTATTTGCTGTGACCATAATTTAAGAAAAGAAATCTCAGTTATCTTATTTTTGTTTGCAGGAGTGGATGGCAAAGGTTTCAGATATTGAAAAGGTAATGAGTTCACTGTTACTTGGGTGTTTATTCTATAGAGAATGCTAGGTGATATACAGATTTGGTTGTAGATGTAATTTTAACACAATTTTTACAACAATATTTGATGGATAATATCGACATTTAGTTTATCTTTATTTTGGGGTAATTGTTTTTGATTTTTATTGAACTCGTCAGCTACAGATGAAGCTGACTTCCAGGTTATAAAGTTAACAGGGATGTCACTTTCCCTTTGCTGCGCTGTGTGGAGGCAGTGTTGCTAACATCGCTTCCTGAACAACTTGTTTGCAACGAGTAGTCACTACTTAAACCCATTACCCGTGATGCTCTGGGAGGCATTCTGATTTTATAAGTGCTCTTATCAAATGCAAAGTATTATTATTATAGGTATAATCATCTCCTTACAGAATGTCATTGTAAGGTTTTAAGTCCCGCCTCAAGACCCTCTGCTTCGACCATGCCATCGGCCACCCCCTTTCTCTCCCCGCCCCATGCTCCCGAGCCTTGCTTGGATCTGAAATTCTATACACTGTCCAGCTCCTTGGGACATCCTCCCGACGTGAAAGGCGCTATACAAATGTAATCTTGTTGTTGTTTAAACAATCTTTCCATTTTGTTGATCTGTTTCAGGAAAAAGCAAGGTTTGAAGAGCAGCTGCAGGAGATGAAGACACGCAGTCTGAATCTGTTCCACAGACGCGATGAGCAGGACGAACTGGACGGGTTTCAGCAGCAGGAACTTGCCAAAGTCAAACATATGGTATGAACTAGTGCCAGGTCCTGTTTAAAAGGGTTAAGTTCTTGGTGTCAGTGCTTTCTTCCCTTCCTGATTTCACTGTTGGAGATAACCAGTGACTTGGAATAAGTGGCTTCCAATTCCAGTCACTGGCTTCCCACTGGAACCCGTTTAAACCTGACACAAAAAAGCTTCTCTATAGCTGGTGCTTACGAGTGAATAGAGATAATTAAATTGGATCTCTATTATGTTGATATTTGATGGCATCTCTGATCTCACATGATCATAAGAAGGTTCGGGTGAACATAAGAACATAAGAATTTGCTCGGCAAAAGAGGACCAAGATCCATTCAGTTCACCTTTCACCATCCTGGCAATTACATGACACGTTGTGTCCCAAACTGTACACTGTATCCCAAGATATTATTTCCCAACAAAAATTATCTAATTTGTTCTTGAATTAATCAACACTTTCTGCTTCCAACGTTTCCCGAGGGAGCCTGTTCCTTACGTTCACTACTCGCTCACTGAAGTATTATTTCTGCAGATTAATTCTAAATTTAGTCCCCTTCAATTGCAGTTGGTTCTACTGAACAAATGGGCTAAAGGGCGAAGATGGCCCTTCAGCCCATTTGATCTCATCCTTCTAGAGAAACCCCCCTCCCCCTCTTATTGTCCTCCTACAGCATTGATCTGTTTCTGAAATGAGTCTTGGTGCTTAAAATTAGTTTAGATTCCTTGCTCTCTCTCTGGGATACACCTAGCTTCAGTTCTGCTGTTTTTGTGTTAATGGCCTGGATGAGAGAAATGTGGCTCTCCATTCTGACATTCTCCATTTTGTCTCCTAGCGTTGAAGTCAAAGCAGTTGTTGTCTCACATCCGTTGCTAACAAAGTAACTGCAGAGACCATAAACTCAGACTGTGTGAGGATTGAATGCATGAGAAGAATGAAAATATTACATTGCGTGTGTGTATTCTATGCCTCTAAGCTGCACAGAGGGCACATACTAAAAAAAAAAGCTCGCCCGTCAGTGCTTCTGAGTTCTTCAGGTCACCACTATTGTCACTTCCTTCACCAATTTGCGCGCATTGAGGGATATCAGTGATGCACATATTGGCCATGCAGGGAACACACAGGAAGCTGGCCCATCAGATTGGGAATGTACCAGTGTAGCATGGCTTCACGGTACATAACTGAGCTTGTCCTAAACAGGGACTATACTAAAGGGGTCGCCCTATAACCTGTTGCTTTGTCGGGATGTTTCAGCTGCTGAGGAAAGAAGAGAAGTTGTCAAAAGTGGAACAGGAGCTTGAGGAACGCAGCGCTGAGCTGCATCAAACCAAAGAACAGCTGCACGACTCTCACCAGAGGCTGGATAACCTGGACAAAAGCTTTCAGCAGCTGCAGAGACAAATCGCCGCCACTGACGAGGAGAGGTACACTGCCTGTGGGAGACATTCTGTGTGTGTGAAAATAATAGTTTCCTCTGTCCGGCTTAGAGACACAGAATACATGCACACAATGTAATGTTTTCATTCTTCTCGTACATTCAATCCTCGCACAGTAGACGCGGAAGTGCTGCTTTGTAACTGCAGTCGTAACCAGGTGCCTGTATTGCTTGTTCAATTAGTTCCTTTCCAAGTCTGAGCTATATTTTTAAATATGATGAGTAATAATAATAATGCTTGCATTTGATACAGTACCTTATCACGTCTTCGAGACGTCTCAAAGCGCTTCACAGAATATACAATACCTGAAGAATTCATTGTACGACAAGTAACCCCACCAGGCTAATTACTTTCCTTTTACTGTTTGCTTTTACTTTGCTTTCCATTGATTTCCATCTAAAGCCCAGCATATTTTCCTTACTGAACAGAGAGGAGTTTCTGGCTACAAAGAGAAATGCGGAAGAAAAAATATCTGAGCTGGAGAAAAGGGGAAAGGAGTTACAGGATACCATTCAACGACTCTCAGTAGACTTGCACAAGGTACATGAGCTGCTTTTGCATCACACTTGGCTTATGCAAGCTGTTGTTATTTTAAATAAACTAGGCTAGAGGAGCGTGGCAAATCTGCTGTCGGAGAATCATTGTGCAGTTCAGCCTGGTCTTTGCTTCACAAGTCAATGTTTTCAGTAACTATATCTTGTCACCACTCATCTTATAATAATATAATAGCACTTGCATTTGATACAGCCCCTTATCATGTCTTCGAGATCTCTCAAAGCACTATACAGGATATATTGTAAAGTGTAGTTACTGTATATTTTGTAGAAGAAACGCAGCAACCAATTGTGCATAGCGGTCTCCCACAAACAGTCGTGGATTGAGTGACCAAATTATTATTATTAATTTCTTGAAGGGATTATTATCCCCAGAAAAGCGATCTGCAAATCGATGAACAATCTACTTACTGCTGGGTAAGCAGAGGTGTGTGGAGTAAGGAAACTTGCCTAACATTGTGCCCTGACCAGGAATCGAACCACTTACTTGCGAGTCAACCGCGATAATCACTAAGATACAGGACTCCACATTCTCATTGTGATTTTCTGTGCTTTTTTTCTTTCCTCCCCCTTAAGACTTCTGTAGAATTGGAGGAAAAGGGAAAGACTATTGAGCACCTGCGAGAAAAAGCGGTCTCTCTGCAAAAAAGGATGGAGGGAAATTATTCAGAGGATGAGCATTTACAGGAGCTACTTAAAGAGGTAGCGTTTGTGTCTTAAAAGCAACTCAAATTGCACCCAGTGTTGCCGTACTCAAGGGATTTGTCATTTTAGAAGATTTTATTTATGCTAGCAGCCAATTATCTTATCTAACCAGTGATTACAGTGTATGACTGTTTGTGTGCTCTGCAGAAATGCGAGCTGGAACAGAAGCTGGAGGAAATGAGGCAGAACGTGTTGGCAGCCAAGACCAGCCAGACTGAGGTCACCAGCGCTCTGGAAGCACAGGTACTCGCTTGCTCGGCCCGGACAGACAGCTTAGGGAAAATCAAACATAACGATTCAAAAAAACAAAGACAGAAGTCGCTGGGAACACTCAGCAGGTCAGGCAGCATCTATGGAGAAAGGAAAGTGAGTCAACGTTTCGGGTACATGACACAAAATGGTTCTGACGATTTCCAGCATCTGCAGTATTTTGTGTTTTGTTTACAACAATTCAAAACTCTGCCGCGCACATACTGACCCGAACCAAACTCCGTCCCCACACTCACCAGTTCTGGCCTAAGCTCTAATGGCTCCCCATCATCAAAAGGATCAACTTCAAGATCCTCACACTCGTGTTCAAATCCATTCACTCCCTGGCACCTCCCTATCTCTCTGACCTCCTCACTCCCCAATCCACCACCCGGAGCCTCTGCTCAACTGGCACCAGCCTCCTGCTTGTCCCTCACACGGCGCCCCACCATCGAAGGTCGTGGTTTCAGCCACGATGCCCCAAAACTCTGGAACACTCTCACTCAATCCCTCCGCCTTGCCCCTCTCTCCCCTTTTTCAAGTCCTGCCTGAAAACCCTCCTCTTCGGCCACCACCACTCCCCACCCCCTCTGGCTTGGAGTCAGGCTCCGCCACTGTTAACTAACTACCCTGCATGGAGGGCGCTATATAAGTGCCAGTTGTGGTTGTAACAATGTCAGCAACTCAAAGTAAAAGAGCTGTGGATGATACCAGCTTGTCCCTGGTTTATAAACCGAGTGTCTTGTTTCAGATAGCTACACAAGCAGCACAACTACAGACTCTGGCAAAACACAAAGAGGAGGATATTCAGGCTTTCAGGGAACAGACTGCCAGTCAGGTAACTTGCGTCTTGTTCTAATTCTTATCTTTTACTGTAGTTACCAAATCATCTCTGAAGACTTGTGAGATAAAACAAAATAACTTTATCGTTTGCCTTTTGACCAAAATCTGTGTGCAGTCGAGACTGAATGCTCCTTTTCTGTGACTTATAATAATTTCTGCGTTTGATATAGCGCCTATCCCATCATTTAGGCGCCTCAAAGCACTTCACAGAATATACTGTAAAGTGAATTGACTATTTGTGGGCTAACTTTAAACCGATTCACTTAACTTTAAAATAAAGAACGGTTTTGTCGCTGAGCACTGCTCAGAGTACTCTTGAGCTGACCTGAAGCACATGCAGACAGTCACAGCATCAATCAACTCTGTGCTAAATCCACTGTATGACAGAGCTCACTATTATGCATTAGTGCCATCTCTTTGGTGTGCTCACATTCTGGCTCCTGTCTAGATGAATGAATTGGAGCAAAGACTGCACTGGACTGCTGAAAACCTGAAGAGGAGAGCGGAGGAAGTGAATGAAAAAGAAATCCAACTCAAAAAAATGGTAAAGTAGAACAAATGTTAAAAATGTTACAGCAAATGCAATTTTTTCTATAGCAAAAGGTTCTGTGTGTATAACAGTCTGCTCTTTCTCTATAGCAAGAAGACAGTGAAATAGAGAGCAATAAATGGCAGCAGCAGGTGGCTGCTCTAAGGCACCAGCACACAGAGAGGAACAGCAGAGCAGACGCACAGATAGCTGCCCTCGAAACTGCCCGCGAGTTTGATAAGACAGCCTCTCAGCATCAGATAGTGAGTACTGCTTGCAATAAGCAACAATTCTTTATTGAATGATAATAATAATACTCCTTGCATTTGATATAGTGCTTCATGTCAATGAGACATCTCAAAGCGCTTCACAGAATATACTGTAAAATGATTGTATATTTTGTGGGCGAAACTCAGCAGCCAATTGCGCAAAACAGTGTCCCACAAACAATCGTGGATGAGTGACCACGTTTTTTTTAAAGGGATTATTACCCCTGAAAAGTGATCCGATATTCGACTAATCAGGTTCTTACTTACTGCTAGATAAACAGAGGCGTGTGTGCAGAGTAAGGAAACTTGCCTAAGGTTATGCCTGACGCGCATGGTATTGGGTTTCCGTATGTGTCAGACACTCGGCTGACCCAAGAAGTATAAATATTGAATGCTGGGTGAGAACGGGGCTGAGGCTCGTTCCTCGTGCCGGCTGACACTGCAGTACAACCCTGACATTGTGCCATTCATTCTGCGTGATGTGTTCAACCGAGCCACCACCTGTCTGCCTGTTTCACCCATTGCCCTGGCCAACAATAGGATCTTGCTGCGCATCCTGTTGAGGACTAAATGCTTCAGAACATGAAACCTGTACAATCTGTGGCTCGTGATATGTTTTCCTCTTTGCAAAATGGAGGTTTAGCAAAGAGAACGCTACCCTACGTGAGGGGCGCTAGATACATGCAAGTTGTTGTTGTTGAAGGTGCTTGTGGAGAGGAGCTGTAGTGTCCGTCTTTTAGAAATCTAATAGCAATAATGTAAATAACACTATTTGTGCGCAGAGCCAACTAGGACAAGACAATGAGGAGCTGAGGGAAAGGCTGAAGGAGACTGAGAACTCATTGAAGAAAGTTGAATGTGAATTAGAAAAATCTAAGGTTTGTACCATGTTTACAAGATCATAACCTTATAATGATTCCTTGTGGTTGGGGAACTTTATTCTCTCCTCCTCCCCACTGGTGCTGTTTGCTGGTGAGGATTCATTGGATCAAGCCATCATGAGGTGCTGAGGGTTGGGGTTGGATAGAGGTTGTCTAACTTCATCCAAAGAGTCAATGAGCTGAATGTCTTGTTCAATTCAGTGGGAATCGGCTTCCGCCTTTCACAACAAACCAAAATCCCCAGGTTTGGGGCTGTGTTGTTCCTGGACCCAAATGACTTGAAGGTTGACATTCCTCATGGTCCCTCACTGGTCCCATCTGGGACAAGTCAGTAATATTTCACTGCCATGAATAAAGAGTAGCATTAAAGTAAATTGGGCATGTTCACGCTGCAAAAGAGAAGATTGAGAGGCAATGTAATTGCTATCTTTAAGATTCTAAAGGGGCAAAACAATATAGATCATGACAGTCTGTTTTAACTTGTCCAGAATAGTAGAACCAGAGAACACGGCCTGCGATTGAAGGGGGTAAATTCAGAACAAATCTACACAAACACTATTTCAGTGAGCGAACAGTGAACCTGTGGAACAGGCTCCCTAGGGATATGGTTGAAGCAGGAAATGTTGATTCTTTCAAACACAGATCAGAGAGTTTTCTTTTGGGAAATAACATTATGGATACAGTACAATAGCACATAGGGAGTTTGGGACATATGTGCATGCGACCACCAGGAAGGTGAAAGGCAAACTAGATAGACCTTGGTCTTTTTTCGTCCATGAAGACTTATTTCTTATGAAGTGTGGAGAGGGGAATGCTTTACATTGTCAGGTATCCCTTCATGGAAACCCCATGTACACACACAGAATTCTGTCTTGTGTTCCCAAGTATAAATCACATTGATTATAGAGTATAATATGAACACAAATCTACACTCGTGCAAATTGTACAGTGTTCTTTATTTGAAACATTATGAACTTAATTGAATGTGATCCCTGTGACTGAGTTAACATTATTCACATTTCTGAACGCAGCAAGAATTAAGCAGCAAAGAAACTATTAGTGCTGAAATTGCAAAAGCCTTGGAAGAAACGCAGAAGCAGAGAGAGGATCTTCAGCACGAGGTTCGTATTACAAACCTCACCCCTCTCCCACGCTCACAATGTTAGATGGAGCCCCGTAGCTCAGTGGTTAGAGCTCTCGTCTCGCAAGCGAGAGGACCTGGGTTCGATTCTCTTTGTTAGCAAAGTTTCCTTACTCCACACGCCTGTTTACCTAGCAGTAAGTAGGTTGTTAGTGATTGGCAGATTGCTTTCCGGGGATAATAATCCCTCGCACAAAATACTACTATTAATAATAATTTGGTCACTCAATCCACGACCATATGTGGGACTCTGCTGTGTGCAATTGGCTGTCGCATTTCACCCACAAAATATACAGTATATTCTATGTATGCATTGAGACGTCTCAATGAACTGAAAAGGCGCAGTAGCAAATGCAAGGATTATCATTGTTATCTATTTGTGCACCATGTGAAGTTTACCAGGTTATTCTCCACAATGATACCCGAACAAAATACTCAGTGATGTCCTGTCCTCAGGAAGGTTGGGTAGAAGTAGTGGGATCTTGATAAGAGTTCTTAAAATGTAAGAATTTGTTTGATTAGAGCTTTACCCAGTTACAATCACAACACAAATTAAACAGCATCAACAACCGTCTTTAGCACAAATGAGAAATATTTAAATCCAGGTGTCAACAAATCTCTCGGGTTGGATCAAAAACATTAATAACCGGCTTAATAATGGTTTAACCTCTCTATTCCCCCCACTCAAATCCATCCCTGAGCTTGGGTACAAACTCTCCACTGTCCAGCACCTTGGGATGTCCTCTTGAAGTGAATTGTGGAATCCTGCAGCTCAGTGGTTAGAGTACTCGCTTTGCAAGCAAGAGATCTGGGTTCAATTCCCGGCAGGGCGAAATCTTGGGCAAGTTTCCTTATTCCACACACCTGATGATAATACCTAAAAAAAAATAATAATAATAATTTGGTCACTTCAATCCATGACTGTTTGTGGGACACTGCTGTGCGCAATTAGTTGCTGCATTTCTCCCACAAATATACAGTCAATTCACTTTACAGTCTTTTGTGAAGAGCTTTGAGACGTCTCAAAGATGTGATAAGGCGCAATATCAAATGCAAGGATTATTATTAAAGGCGCTATATATAATATATATTCTGTGTGTGTATATATATGTAGTAGAGTGTGTGTGTGTGTATATATATATATATGCAATTAGTTAATATTCTTTGTGTGCTAAACTGATCTCTAAAAGCTCCTTGTTTGTGTGCTGGACAGAGATTTAGTGTGAGTGGAATTGACTTGTGCTTTTTCCACCGACAGGTGGCGAAATTGACAGCAACACTCAATGAGGAAACTACCTCAGGCAGTCAGCAACATCAGGAGCTCCTCAAAAGGGAAGCAGATCTCGAGGAGCTGAAGCGAGGTGCGAGAACAGAACCTGCACATAACTGTGAGAGAAGCTGAGGGGAAAATGGGAACCAAATAAAACTGAAGAATTTAAAAAGCTGAACTGCTTTCCATTTCCCTGTCAGCCCGGCTCAGTTGGCTGAATTCTTGCCTGAGTCACGAGGTTGTGCGTTCCAGAACCACAAAAGGACGTTCGCCCACAAATATACAGTCAATTCACTTTACAGTATATTTTGTGAAGCGCTTTGGGACGTCTAGAAGACGTGAAAAGCGCTATATCAAATGCAAGGATTATTATTATATTATTGAACTACAATCTAAGCTGAAGCCAAAGCCGCAATGCATTTTAGTGCAATATTATTTTATTAAAAGGCTGTGGGGGGGGAAAAAAAATTCCCAGTTCTTAATTAACATTAAAATTATGTGTGGTCTGCTGAGCTTATGAGGAATGTAATGAGCTGGGCCAATAGAAAAGTGCGGCTGTAATTTTTCTGCGGAATCCCCTATAAACCTGCTGTAGCTCAGTGATCATAGCACTCGTCTCACAAACGAGAGACTTGGGTTGAATTCCTGGGCAAGGCGACATGTTGGTCAAGTTTCATTACTCCACACACATGCCTCTGTTTACCTAGTATTAAGTAGGAACCTGGTTGTTAGTCGATTGACGGATCGCTTTTCCGGGGGTAATAATTCCTTTAATAAAAAAATTATCACTTCAACCCACGACTGTTTGTGGGACGCTGCTGTGGCAATTGGCTGCCATGTTTCGCCCACAAAATTTACAATCAATTCACTTTACAATATATTCTGTGAAGCGCTTTGAGACATCTCAAAAATGTGGTAAAGCACTATATCGAATGCAAGGATTATTATTACCAGACCCCGCAATTTTCTGCAAAATCTGCCAAGGAGCCCCGCAACTTTTATGGAATGCCCAAATTCCCTGCGGTTTTTGGCAAATATGTCTGCATTTTTCTGTTTGGCCCAGACAGTATATGACTAGAGCGGCTGCCTTGCATTGCCCTGAAAGGCTTGACTTAGGCTATTGTTACTGTAACCCAACCACGGAAGTGGAGCACGAGTTATTCTTGTGCGCCCTCTGGTAGTTAGTGACAGAACAGCAAAGGTTGGATATGGTTAGTACCTGATGTGGAACTCAGGAAGGGAGAGAATTGTTTTGTAGGATCAGAGCAAATGACATGCTTCTTAAAGCCTCAACAGTAAATATGAAACGTGAGGTGAATCCTCACACCTGTCTCCTTCTGAAGTGTTTTGTGTGAGTGGGAAGGCGAGTGAGTGATGCTTTACTTGTGGAAGGTGATGCGTTCTTATTTTAATAACTCACGGTGTTTCCCTAGACAATGAGGCTGTGTTGTCACAGCTCCATCAGCTGCAGGTGGAAAAGAATATGTATGAATGTGCAACAGTGGAACAGGAGGGGTCAGCTCAGAACCAGCTGAGTGCTGTCAGACTGCAAGTGACTGAGACACAGGCACTACTGGAGATGAGCCAGAGAAAGGTAGATCATACGTTTTCCTCCCCGCGCACATATTAATTAGCACTGGAGTTGGACCGAGAACGGTATTCTCATTGCAGTACTAGGGGAGTGCTGCATTGTTGGAGATGCCATCGTTGGGATGAAAAGCATTTTGAAGATGCTTTGGCTTCAGTGGCTATGAAAGTTCTTCCTTTCAAGAGTGGTTTGAGACGGTTGAAACAAGACAAACACCCTATTTCTCAACACCAAGCTGTGGGTGAAAGATTGAAATCCACCCACAAGATCAGTTTGACTCTACCCAGCGACAATCTTGCTGGGCTAACTTCACACCTCACAATGTGAGGCTAGTGTAATTCAATGCGTATCTATCCTTGCAAAATAGTTTGACCAATGTATTACGCCCACAAAATATACAATCAATTCACTTTATAGTACATTCTGTGAAGTGCTTTGAGACGTCTCGAAGACACGATAAGGCACTATATCAAATGCAAAGATTATTATTACGAGGGTTTACTGCACCGACGTTCAGTAGTTTTTTGCTGTAACATGCCTGAGCGAGGTGACTGTGTGGCTTAATCAAGCTTACTCTTGATTAGACAAACCACACAAAATGCTCCATGTAAACTTGCTGCAACTTTTAGCAGAACCAGCCCAGACACGATGGATCTCTGCTGCTGTAAAACTCTGCACTACTTGATGTTTTTACGTGTTTTGCCTGCTCTCTGTACCTCGAATTCCACTGATAAATGACACAAACCTCTGTTGCAGGTCAGTGAGCTGGAGGCTGAGGTGACGGCCCTCAGTGACCAGCTGACACCCTCCGACAGCGACGAAACGGAGCAAAATGGGGAAGTGGCTGTCACGGACGCTCTGCGGCTTCAACGCGACAACCAAGACTTGGAGCAGCAATTACTGGAGAAAAACAAGGTTAGAGACACGAGAACTGGGTCACACTGTGGCTTCCACATTTATCTCTTGATCTGACCTAAAAGGCTTGGGTGTGGCGGTGTTGCTAACGGCTTGCTGTCTGCTTTATGTCAGGAGTAGAACATTAATGTCTTGGTGGCTGCAGCCTTTCTAGAAACATAACATTCACGGATTATGGAGGAAGTGGGTGGGCCAGATGAAATGGGTGGGGGCGTGAAATTGGCCGGCAGTTGGACCACCCTTGCTTATTGTATAACAATTATATCGTGGAGTCCTGTAGCTCAGTGGTTAGAGCACTCGCTTTGCAAGTGAGAGACCTGAGTTCAATTCCAGGCTGAGGGCGAAACCTTGGGCAAGTTTCCTTACTCCACACAGAGCCTAATAATAATCCCTCCAAAACCAAAAACAATCATAAATTGGTCATTTTCAATCTACGACTGTTTGTGGGACATTGCTGTGCGCAATTGGCTGCCGCGTTCGCCCACAAATATACAGTCAATTCACTTTACAGTGTGTTCTGTGAAGCGCTTTGGGACGTCCTCCCGACGTGAAAAGCGCTATATCAAATACAAGGATTATTATTATTATCTTGCTTTACAGTTTGATGTCCTGTATAATAAGCAGTCAAACTCTTTTTCAGGGATATGTTTTCTCCTCTGTACCCTGCCTTTCTGTCCTTCCCCTAATAGCTGCAATTTCCTTTTCAATTTTTCAATTTCCTTTTCTTGTGCTACAAACTGATATCAATGTGTCAAGTGAATTGACCGTATATTTGTTGCCAAAACACGGCAGTCAATTGCGCACAGCAGTGTCCCACAAACAGTTGTGGATTGAAAATGACCAATTTATTATTATTTTGTTTTGGAGGGATTATTATCAGGCTTTGTGTGGAGTAAGGGAACTTGCCCACGGTTTTGCCCTGCCTGGAATTGAACCCAGGTGTCTCGCTTGCAAGGCGAGTGCTCTGAGCTACAGGACTCCGGAAAGCCAAACTTTTGACTGCAAATGATTGGAAACCTACAGCTGCAGAGACCGTGTTAAATAGACATAACCGCCATCTTCCTGGAGCCCCGCCTTCTAATTGTGCTTTGAAACTCACTTTTTCAAACTATTTATGTCATGATAGCATCAAATTGATATCGCTGAAGCTTCTTTCTTGCCCAAAAATTGGTTCCTCCCCTTCTCACCCCCGCTCATGAAGACCATTTAACCATCCAGAGTTTCGAGTTGCTATCGTGCACCATGTACAGTTAGCTGACTGAGAAGCAGGTAGACCAGAGAAACTGACAGCACAGAAGCAGCCATTCACCCCATCATATCTGTGCTGCTCTGTTTCAGTTGACCCATCACTCCTTTCAGTTGACCTATTTTGGGACCTCTGCCCATGTCTTCAAAGCGGCAGCTCCCTCAGTGGCAGGGATTCTTGCACTGATACTGCTGTACTAACTCTGTTCCTGTTAACTGAGTAACATTCACTGTGGATTATTTTATTTATTTTCTTTCTTGCTCTCTCTCCTTATGTAAAGACCATTAAGCAGTTACAACAGAGGCTGTCAGAACTCAAAAAGACACTACAGAAAGAGCTGGTAAGGATCTGGCATGAAACACTTGTCTTGTAAACCTCTTACAGACATGGTTCTTTTTAAATGGAACAAATTGCATTTATATAGCACCTTTTTTTGTCAGGACGACATCCCAAGGCGCTGGATAGCAAAGGAATTGCAACTGAGCTGGAGATTGGAGGGTAACTGAAGGCACAGTGAAAAAGTAGGGTCTTACAATGGGTCTTGAAGGAGGCAAGAGAGGGGATGAGGCGGAGGCATTCCAGGATGGAGTTCCAGAGGGTGGGATCAGAGAGGCTGAAGGCCTGACTGCCAATGGTGGAGAGGGCAGGCGGGGGACATGGAGCAGGCCTGTGCCTGCCGAGGTCATGGAGGGCTTTTAAAGTCAGGACAAGGATCTTAAACTCGGTCCTCTGGGGATGGGAAGCCAATGAAGCTGGGCAAGGATGGGTGTGGGAGAGGACACGAGCTACAGAGTTCTGATAATCTGCATCTTGTGGAGGGAAGACTTGGGAAATCTGGCTAGTAGGGAGTTAGCAGTCAAACCTGGACATGATGAAAGCATGGATGAGGGTCTTGGCGGCCTGAGGGGAGAGGTAGGCAATAGACAGAGGAGGGCAATGTGCGGGCGTGGGGGACGGCGGAGGAGGTTATAGCATGGATGTGGGGTTTAAAGAACAGTTGAGGGCTGAACAAGACACCAAAGTTCCATCCTGGCTTGGTGAGATGAAGAGTGCATCCTTGAATAGTAGGTCATAAGGATCGATAATATTATTGACGTGTAATAAGATTGTAAAAAACCACCAACCTCAGCACTACTCCATAACCACAGTTTAACGCCTGTAAGGTAATACTCAGTGAGGGCAAGGAACGGTTCAGACTTTCCCAGAGACTGTGGCTGACCTTGTTCTGATGTAATGTCAGTTTAATGTCTGCTCCACCAGTGCTTCCCAGAGCAGATTGAGTGTAAATACACCTGTATTGTATAAAATATCTTCCCGGTGGTTGGCACTAATTCCTTTTAACCCTTTGCTCTTTCTAACGGAAGAAAATGAAGCCGGAGATGGAGTTGCCTGAAGTCCGCGAGCGGCCGTGCTCAGAGCTGCCCTGCGCTGTCGGAGCTGCCACCACAGTCATAAACAACTCCGACATGAACGACTCCAGGGAAATCAACTTTGAATACCTTAAGCACGTCCTTCTGAAGTTCATGTCCTGTCGGGAATCTGAGGTGAGCAAACTAGAAGCAGAAATTGGTAATTATTGGTTATTGGTAATAATTGACGCAAAGTCACTTGTGCCGTGTTAGCTATGAACACATTACATAAACAAGCCCCCAGTTTACTCGTGCTCCAACAAGAAAGTGGTTGAGGAAGAATCCATATTCGCTTTAAAAAGGGAATTAGATAAATATCTAAAAACAAGTAAACTACAGTGGTATGAGGAAAGGGCAGGTAAATAGGAGTAGAAGGATTGTTCTAAATTAGGGCCAGCACAGACACAATGGGCCAAATGGGTCTTCTTCTATGCTGTAAATGTCTTTTTTTTATTGTTTCTATACCAAAGCTCAGTGTGTTACGTTGCTCGTTCTCTCCATGGCTGTCCAGGGTAATTGCTGTGTATTTGTTACAGGCCTTTCAGCTGCTGAAAGCAGTGTCTATGCTCCTTAACTTCACACTTGAAGAAGAAAACATGTTGAAGGCAAACTTAGAATATAAGGTACATTAACCCTTTCTAAGTATCCACGAATGTGTTTCCGTGTGTGCCAGACGCACATTCAGGTGAGTGGGAGCACTCACTGTTGAGACTCGAACACGTTGGTGTATAGCCTCAGCCTGTGCATTGTGAGTTAGCTATGAAACCAAATGGATGTGCTTGAGTGATGTTCAATGGTTTCCCACGAGTGCTTTACTGAATGTTACACTGTTTACGTTACAGATGTCTTGGTTTTGGTCAAAACCTGTTCCTCCATTGGGTCGAGCACCCCCTCCCTGGCATTAAACCGAGTGCAACGTCAGGAACGTACACACTCAGAACCACCAACACATCAGACCAACACTATGGCTGTCTATTCATAATAAGATCCCCTTATTAGTGTTCTCAGTCACTGTTATGACAGTGTTTTTAATACCAGACTACACGTTTTAGAAGCTGTTTACAAAATAATAGTAACCAGTACTTTATATTAATGCATCTTTTAAATGCAAAATGAAGTTGTTCTCCTATGGGGAATGAAGTTCATGGAAGAGAGGAGGAGAGAAAGTTTACTGTGTGGGCAGATATTAAGGGTAGTCTGTACACAGATGAGGGAAGGTCCATTAGTTCTGGTCCCAGACCTCAAACCTTTATTAGTTCATCTGAAAAAATCATGGTGTGAAGCAGTGTGTCCTCATTCTCTTGCCTGTGGCATGGCTGTTTGTACATGGAAAACAATTAATGATTGCAATCGCCTGTGCTTTTTTCACCCCTGATTCTGTCACTGCGAGAACCAAACAGGAGAGAGGGGAAGAGAGAGAAATTACATTACTTTATTATTGTTTCTTTTCTCTCCCTGCCCCCCGGTCATGAAAGAAAGCCAGCACGGCTGTCCAAAGCTGCCTTTGAATTCACAGTATCATGATCCAAAACCTGATTTGCAAAACTTAATTGTGCGTTTGAACTGCTGTCAATTGGATTATTTAAAGATGGAAACGTGGAAACTTACAAGACTTAAAGAAAAAAATCGCAGCAACAAAGAGAAAATGAGATCAAGTTAACTTTTTATCCTAACCAGTTTGTCTTCAGCTGATAGAAACTGCCAGCACAACTGCTTCCAACAGATTTAGCTTGAGATACAATACAGTCTGTGCTGTTGTTGGCCTATAACACTATTCTGATCCCTTTTGTGTGTTCTTGCTGTCGTTTGAATATTGTGTTTTTTATCACAATGTAAGAATTCACTGCATCACCTAAAATGATGCTCAACAAGTCGGAACCAGGGAAGTTGGTGCTTTAGAATCACAAAGGAGACTGGTCCCTACACCTTGATTATTGTGGAATCCTGTAGCTCAGTGGTTAGAGCATTCACCTCGCAAGCGAGAGGATCTGGGCTCAATTCCCAGGTCAGGCCAAAACATTGGGCAAGTTTCCTTACTTCACTCACCTGTTTACCCAACAGTAAGTTGGAACCCAGTTGTTAGTCGATTGGCGATCGCTTTTCTGAGGATAATAATCCCTTCAAAAATGAATAAATAATATGGTCACTCAATCAACAACTGTTTGTAGGACACTGTTCTGCACAAATAGCTGCTGTATTTTATCCACAAAATATACAGTCAATTCGCTTTACAGTATATTCTGCAAAGAGCTTTGAGACATCTTGAAGAAATGATAAAATGCTATAGCAATGCAAGGATTATTATTTATGAAAAAACACATCCCAATACCCACAAATCTCCATGTTGTGAATTGAACTCAAGATTGGATGTTTTAAAAAAATATTTACAGCCTTTTGGAGGCACATTGTTGTATAATGGTTTCTCTGCAGTATTTTCTTCTCCCTGCCATTATTGTGGAACTGAGAATTCCCTATTGAAAATGAGAGCAATGTATATTTTAAGTGACCAACTAATGCACTTTTATTTGTATACAGATGTGGTGTACATGGGTTGACTGGTTCTTGGTTACGGATTTCTCTCCTGGTGTCAGCCTGGATTAGGTACAGTAACCATCATCGGCCAACCAGTGTTTGCTTGGGAATAATTTGTAGGTGCAATACTTTCCAATTAAAACTCTTTTGACTTGCTGAGACTGTGATTGGATTCTCTCAGATACATACTTTCCTAGCAGGTAAAACCATAGCTATTTGGTCTTTGTGTTATGGCATTTATCAGGAACATGCTGGTTACTTGTTTACTGTAAAGTCCCTGTATTTCTCTCTAAGTTAGCATCACAAGGTTGATTACAGAGCGTGGATTCAGGTTAATGTTGACTGTGTCCTCAGCAGAGTTGGATTATTTCTATTTGACCTGAGGACAATCTTTAAGTTCAGCAGAAAAAACAATCCCCAAACAAATCGACTGTTAAAGATGTGGTTCTTTGATCAAGGGCCTTCCTAAAGCTGTACTTTATCTAACTAGTCTGTGTTAATACCAACCTCAACTTTTAAACAGAATACTGGTTTTCCCTGCGTGTTACATCTGTGGATTCAGATCACAGCAGTTACAAGTAGTTTTCTTTGGGGAAAATTGATTAGTGGCCATTAACAAGCATTATTCACCACCTCTTATTCAGGAAATATTCTTGCTGGATTATTTTCCCCCTCCTATTTGCCCAAATCTGTATTGCAAGGTATAGTCCAGGCAAAGTATCAATGTGTCAATTCAATCTGTACCGGAAAATGGAGGTTTTTATATCATGAGAGCATCATTAATGGTTTAGGGCACTGAATGCAGAACTGTAATCAGCCTTTGAATAAAACTTAATTTGTGCTGAGATAGTTGGTTCTAGACTTAGTTCCAATTGGCATTGTGTCTCCCCCTTACTCAGAACGTAAACCAACCTTCCAAATGGCTGAGATATCACAGTAATACTGACAAACGTTGTCCGGTAAAAGATGATCAAAGAGCTTTATTTTGCAGCAGGCACTTTACAATGAATTCATCCCTGGTTTCGTCCAGCTAACACTATTGCATGTGTGTGTCATACTAAACCTACCCGATGACAGTACGAAAAACCCTGAAGGTTTGAAAATGACCCAAAGAAATAAAATGTAAATCCTAATACTGCATGTACTGCATTGACACCAAAGCCTTTTTTAAATATGTCACCATTACTCCATGTGGCACAAACAATAGTGGGTAAAAATATCTAACTTGAGCACAAGCAGCAACCACCTTTCTGTCTGTCGCGGGGGGTGGGGATGGGAGGGACAGGCCCGTCCAAGTCGCACAATATTTGGTTTCTCATAAGACAAAAAAAATTCTATAAAAAGGTAAAAACGAAAATGGAGCTAGAAAGGGAGGATGTGCAAGAGCTTGCGTTATGTCAATACTTGACCAAAACATACAGTAAATACATCAAACTCTTCACCACAATCTATTAGATAAAAAGCATTCCAACATAATTACAATTTTTCAAAATAATACATTTCATTTAATGAGAACAGGGGAACAAACCACCTCGTTATTCCCAACCACAAGAGCATTCTGTCCATGTGTCTTGCCTTTTCAAACCGTTTTTCTTGCCGTCAGGACCCGTACTATGGAACCCACTCCACCTACCGCGAGTGCCTAAGAGAGGGGAGAAAGATCAGGTCAGAAAGACAAGAGGCTGTTTTAAATTTTTCTTCACTCAGAGGCGAGAGTCCTCCCACTGAGCCAGACTGACACTCAACGACATAGAAAGAGGTTATCGTAAAAAAAAATGCACAGTCCTTGCGTTTCATCCAATGCAGTGGGTAATGCACTGAAGCACAGGAGTTCTCAGTCAGCAGTCTTACAAGTGCATGCTCTTAAATGAAATTGCTGGATTTTCAGCACCTACCTTTTCATGCCACTGGAGTAATATAGCACTGCTGTTTTCTGTAGGTTTTTCAAAGCCTTTGTAAATGTACTTCATTAAAAGGTCAATTCCATTTTTATCTAATGTCTTAACAGCCTGTTCTATTTCACTACTCTTGAACGACGTAAGGACTTTGAGTACTATTCCCTGGGCACGCTCCTATGAACAAACAGAAAAAAAGAAAAATTAAACAGTTTTCCTTTTAGCCCAATGTTAAACAGACTGCACTTAAATAGCAAAAACTAGTTCAACCTATTTTGAGGTCCACACGGGCACCTCTCGTCCCTAATTAGCCCAATTACATAAATACCCAAGATATACGGTCCAGTGTCTCAACCCAGCTCAAATCCACTAAAGGTTGGCTCCTAGTGAACAACAATGCCACAACCATTTCAGTACAGTTTCTTGCACTACATCGACTTCTGTAACCAAACATTAAAACGACACTGGAGCTCAGACAAAAAGTTAAAGCTAGGTCTAATGTTTAAAAATGTGTAGAATTCATTTTTAAAATATGTATTTAGATTACAATTTGTGTTCCAGACTGGTACTGCATCTGTGAAACGCTTTGAGACGTCCAGAAGACGTGCTTAGGCGCTGTATCAAATGCAAGAATTATTATATTAGGAATATAATATAACAGCAGGAAATTAAACAGCACATCCAATCCAGTACCACCCACTTTCACTTTTCTCAGCGTCGGCCCATTTCATTATTTAGTTCAACTATAACAGGTATCACTTAAATTAGATCCCTGGAGTACATTAGCAATTCTGTACTAATAAGTTCAGTTTTCATCTCCACTAAGGACATTAGAAATAAAGTAACTGTTTATCACCCGTTTCAGTATAGATTTCTGTGATATACTCCGAAAGAGGGAAAATCTTAAAAGCCTCCATTTTCTGCCTCCCCCCTCCATTCTTGTCGGGACAGTAAGTGGGCGATAGTGCATCTCACCAAAGTCACCATTCTTTCTGTGTGAAGCTAGTCAGCGAGTGTCACAACTTTTTGTTAAAATGGTCAGCTGGATTCAGACACCATGGGTATCCAAGCCAGATAGAGTTCCAAATATGTACACCACCCACACATGGAAATTTTCCCACATCTGGAATTGCATATGCACTCTCCCTGCAGGTTTGCATCCTAATTCAAGTGCATTATAAAAAAATTGGTCACTCCATCCACAACTGATTGTGGGACACTCATGTGCACAATTGGCTGCTGTGTTTCACCCAATAATAGTCAATCCACTTTAAATATATTCTGTGAAGAGCTTTGAGTCATCCCATCAATGTGATAAGGCACTATATCAAACGCAAGGATTATTATTATTAGGTGCAGGTTGGCAAGCACCAATGTTTGGGGAGGGGACCCCAGAGTGTGCATTGGGGTAACTGCTAGAATTTAACCAGTTCTAAAACTACATAGCTTGCTATTGAGAGGACTGTCTGCCAAGATTTCCACTGCTTGTCCAGCTTGGACATCCCTAATCGTTAGAGCTTTGGCTTACAGAGTTAACAGGATCTGAGTGGGAAGAATCGCTGCCCTCCAAGTACTATTGAAGGCTGATCTGTCATCAGCAGTTTTGTGGAGTGTTACTGACCTGCCTGACTCACAAACTGGACAGATATTTCCCTTCCATCACCCAGGGTGCCGAGGCCATTTGCAGCATGGAAACTGCTGGCCTGAATGATACCAGCAAAACCAGTACAAGCAGCCAGGAAACAAACCTGGAACCTTCTCTGTGGGTTTTGTTATGGTAAACATCAGACAGAGCCTTCCCCAGAGGGCAACCAGGGCAATGTCAACATAAAAAATTAAAAGGACCATTAAATCTTCACATATTTGTTGATCTTTCATTCTTGGAGGTAAGTTGCTGTGCTCTGGAACGGTTTTATAGTCAGTACAACACTCACTGTCATTTGTAAAATAACATTCAGTCATTTTAATACCTTTACTACTTGATTCTTCATGTTGACAGGAGGACTCCTTAATACGGCTTGGAATGCGTTAAACAAGTTACCTGTACATTATTACTGGTTAAGGAACAATACAAAGTGAAACTATGTGAAAATAATTTATGAAAAATCTGATGCCTTTTGGTTTCATTACAGATTTATTTATTACAGTTCCAACAAATTTAGAGAATTCATATACAGTGGCTTCCCCAAGTTGTTGATGGATATTGCATTTCATTTGATAATGAAATCTTATACCAACATGAATCTTATCGAAATAGTTGCACAGCACCCCCAGGGATTAGGAACACTATTTGATCCCTGCAAAATCAAATCAACAGCTGAATACGCAAGAAACATACATCGCTGCGGTGCAGTTTATAGAATTTGAAACTGACTGCAGTTAAATCCACTCCCACCCAATGCTCAATATATTGAATCTTTACTGAGTCCCAGTTTACCATTTTTCCTGCCTCCTGCGGCCAAATCAGCTTCAAAATAATAATGTATATCACCATTTCTCCATAAATAGTCAGAGAGGGGGTGATGTAGGGGGGAGAGGGGGGTGTGGGAGGCAGAGAGAGGGGAGAGGGGGGTGTGGGAGGCAGAGAGAGGGGTGTAGGGGAGAGAGGGGTGTAGGGGAGAGGGGGGTGTGGGAGGCAGATAGAGGGGTGTAGGGGAGAGAGGGGTGTAGGGGAGAGGGGGGTGTGGGAGGCAGAGAGAGGGGTGTAGGGGAGAGGGGGGTGTGGGAGGCAGAGAGAGGGGAGAGGGGAGTGTGGGAGGCAGAGAGAGGGGTGTAGGGGAACGGGATGGTTTGTGTGGGGGAAGAAGGGGTGTGTAGGGGAGATGAGGGGGTACAGGGGGTAACAGGAAGGTTTGGGGGGGAGAGGCAGATGAGCTGCAGACGGTTTGTCTCAATGTCAACCCTTCCCCCCAACCAGCAGCCGTTTTCTGTACCCGCTCCCCAGCCCGGGCTCTCCCCCCCACACCCCGGGGGCCGCCCGGCTCCCCCCCCGGGCTCTCCCCCCCCTCCCCGGGCTCTGCCCCCCACCCCCGGGCTCTCCCCCCCCCTCCCTGGGCTCTGCCCCCCACCCCGGGCCGCCCGGCTCTCCCCCCCCCCCCCGGGCTCTCCCCCCCTCCCCGGGGGCCGCCCGGCTCTCCCGCCTCGGGCTCTCCCCCCCCTCCCCGGGCTCTGCCTCCCACCCCGGGCCGCCCGGCTCCCCCCCCCCGGGCTCTCCCCCCCCGGGCTCTCCCCCCCGGGCTCTGCCCCCCCCCACCCGGGGCTCCCCCCCCCCGGGGCTCCCCCCCCGACTCTCCCCGGGCTCTCCATGAAAGGATATTGTCTGATTAAAGTGTCCACTTCCACCTCGTCCGGGCCGGGCTCCCCGGCCTCCTCCAACTGCTGCTCGTCCACGAACTTGTTCTCGTCAAACTCGTCGATGTCCAGCTTCCGGAAGCGGTTGGACAGCGTGTTGGCCGCCATTGTCGCGGGCGGCGGGTGGCGGACAGTGAGCGCGAGGCCCGGGAGCCGCGGGGCCTGAGCCGGGAGTCACCTCAGACTGGCCGCGCCGGAAACCGCTCCTGATTGGCTGAGCTGCCACCCAGATCTGATTGGCTCATATGTCTCTACCTTCCGGCGTCTGATTGGCCAAATTAGGCCCCACCGGCACCTGATTGGATGAACTGTCCCCCGTATATGATTGGCTTACCTGCCCACACTCCGGCACCCGATTGGCTGCGTTGTCCCTTATCTAATTGGCTAGTCTGACCCCCCCAATCCGGCTTCTGATTGGTCCCGCCCCTCGCGCAGTCCATCTGAGCCTGGGGAGAGGAGGGGAATCAATGGCAGGAAACAGGCAAAACAATCAACACTTTTGCTACGAAACTTTGTCAAGTTGTGATTTTTATTTTATTATTGTATTGTAAAGCAGCCGCTGCCCGTCTGATTGTGTGGTTAACGTGAGAACAATCAATGGCTCCCTCTCCGCTCCCCCCCACTGCTGACGGGTCACGTGGTGGCGCCTGGTTCTCCCGGAAGTAGTCGCGCGCGGCCGACAGCCCCTCCCTTTCCTGCCGTCGCCTCAGAGAGCAATGGTAGGAGTCCGCGGAGGGTCCGCGCGCCATCCGTCCCAATCCTCCTCCATGGCGGCGGTTACGGCGCCGCTGACGCTCCATCGCGCTCCCGCGGGGTCCGCGCCGCGAGGCCGCGCGGTTATTTGTGGCGATTTGCGGTTTGTTTCCCGGGATCGTTGGCTTTGAAGCCGCCACTCGGTGTCCGGCAAAATGGCCGCTCCCGGAGCTGCTCCTCTTCCCCTCACTTTAAATCGCGCGCGTTTCCTCTTGTTACCCCCCGGGGCCGCCGTGGAGCCGCGCCGCCGGCCTGGGGGAGGGGCTGAGGAGGATTTAGAGTCGGCAACGTGGCCCCGGCAACAGCGTGTCAGCCTCGGACTGTGACCCGGAGACTCCGGAGGCGCTTCGGCTTCACAGCCTATATGTCCCCTGTGTGTGTGTGTGTGTGTCCAGCCCCGGGGGAGGAGGCCCTGTGTGTGTGTCCAGCCCCGGGGGAGGCCCTGTGTGTGTGTCCAGCCCCGGGGGAGGCCCTGTGTGTGTGTCCAGCCCCGGGGGAGGCCCTGTGTGTGTGTCCAGCCCCGGGGGAGGCTCTGTGTGTGTGTCCAGCCCCGGGGGAGGCTCTGTGTGTCCAGACCCGGGGGAGGCTCTGCCCAGTGGTTCAGGTGCCATAAAAGTCCTTGTATTTAATGTCACAGCTTCAGGGCAAACGCCAGTCTTATTGGTACAGGAGATTTGGCCTCTTTTCCTGTTCAGTTGGTGGTGATAACCCTGACTGTCGCCTCTGGGTCAGGAGGTTAAAGCCCAACGTTGGGACTTGAGCTCACACTCCAGTGCTGGGGGGGAGCTGCAGTATTTCTGTGGGTCAGCCGGGTGTCTGCGTCATCGTGCTTAAAGGGTATCCAAACCAAAAAGAGACTTACATATGTCTCACCTGGGAATCCCAGAGATTGATTGTTGGAATGGAACACGCGCTCTTTCTCTCTGGAGGGATGCATCCTGCTTACTTAGGAGTCTTGTAGCTCAGTGGTTAGAGCACTCGCTTTGCAAGTGAGAGACCTGAGTTCAATTCCAGGCAGAGGGCGAAACCTTGGGCAAGTTTCCTTACTCCACACAGAGCCTAATAATAAACCCTCCAAAACCAATAATAAATTGGTCATTTTCAACCTACGACTGTTTGTGGGACTTTGCTGTGCGCAATTGGCTGCCGCGTTTGCCCACAAATATACACTTTACAGTATATTCTGTGAAGCGCTTTGAGGCGTCTGGAAGATGTGAAAAGCGCTATATCAAATGCAAGGATTATTATTATTAATTCCGGAGAGTAATAGGCAAAGGTTGGCAAGAGCCAAGGCTTGTGGACCCTAGAGTGTGCATTGGAGAAACTGCTGGCGTCTAACCGGCTAAAACCACAATAGCTTGCCGTTGATATCGCTGTCTGGCAAGCTTTCCAGCTGCCTATCTAGCTTGGCCCACCATCCTGTTTGGCTTGCAGGGTTAATAGGAACTCAGTGGGATGATTTCCTGCCCCCAGTGACTGGTCTGCCTTTCTTTCTAGGTCCAGGCTCAGGACTGGACTAGAGACCACCACAGTTTAGCTCCAAGGAGCATAGACACGTCTGATAATTTGTTAAAAGTGATGCCTGTTCAGGTGGTATGAGGTGAAGGTCGGCAAGAAGGAGTTTAAGTAGCTGGTCACGTTGTGGCTGCTTTGCTAACTGCAAACTGATGAAGATCACAGTGATTATTCTTGAGGGTCTTTGACTGATATAAAGATTAAAGTTTTAAAAGCTAGATTTGTCTTTCATTGGTTGTTCAACTTGTGAATAATTATAACTTTCAGTCTCTGTTCCTCTATGGCACTGATTTCCCCCCCAAAAAAAACACAGGCACTGACCTGGGCCTGACTAAGGTCAGAGCATCAGGCAGGGTTTTGTGTTGCTGCATGGTGTCTTGTGCATGCCTGAAGGCCTGGAATCTGCCCTTGTTTGTAAAGCACATTTGTTGAAATGCAGGCGAAGATCAAGGCACGCGACCTGCGCGGGAAGAAGAAGGAGGAGCTGCTGAAACAGCTGGATGACCTCAAGGTGGAACTCTCCCAGCTTCGCGTCGCCAAGGTGACGGGAGGTGCTGCATCCAAACTTTCCAAGATGTAAGTTACATTTGTGGTCGGTCTGGGTAGTGGATTGAATGGGGTGGGGGTTGGGAGAGGAGATTAAAGTGGATTTTTCTGCTGGGGTGCAGGACAGTGGGGGCGACCATCACCAGGGGATTTGTAACCTGTTTTGTTTCCTTTCAGCCGTGTTGTCCGCAAGTCCATTGCCAGAGTCCTCACTGTCATCAACCAGACACAGAAAGAGAACTTGAGGAAGTTCTACAAAGTAAGTGAATGTCTCTTCGGTGCCTGATCTATAACTGGTGTACAGAGCCATTTATATTCCCGAGTCATTAACAATGAGAGTGTCCGAGTCCTACTTGACTAACCGCCAACAATACATCTCGGCAAACGGTATCTCTCCCTGCCCAGTCACCTGCAAGATACCTCACGCCTCAGGCTGCCGAAACCCTCACCCACGCATTCGTCACCTCAAGGCTTGATTACGGGAACTCCCTCCTCATTGGCCTTCCTACCTCTTCCCCTCACAAGCTGAAGATCATCCAAAACTCTGCAGCCCGTGTACTCTCGCGCACCGTGACCCCATCACTCCCACCCTCTCCCGACCCCACTGGCTCCCCAACCCTCAGAGGATCAAATTCAAGATCCTCATCCTCACTTTCAAGGCCATCCATGGTCTTGCCCCCTCCTACCTCTGACCTGCTGACTCCCTGCTTCAACCTGCTCCATGTCTCCCGCCCGACCCGCCCTGCCATCGGTGGCCGGGCTTTCAGCCTCTCTGCCCCCACACTCTGGAACTCCAACCCACGGTCCCTTGCCTCCTTCAAGGCCGGTCTCAAGACTCTCTTCGACCGTGCCTTTTGTCTCCCTCCCACTTCACTGCCTTCCCTCACCCCTACACCACCCCTCCCCCATGCTTGGCCCCCGATACCTGACTGTTCAGCGCTTTGGGATGTCCTCCCGATGTGAAAGGTGCTCAAAATGTAATTTTGTTGTTGTTGTAAAGAATCTCTTAAAAGGAACACTTATTGCTGATATTTCACTGGTGTCAGTTGCTCCTTGATAAAGTACTCTCCAATTTTTAACTTGGTAGGTTGAGGTAGGAGGACATCTTGTGATTGATAATTGTTTTGGCTTTTTCCACCCTGTGTGAGCATTTGAGTTGTCATGAGCTTTTGATTAGCTGGGTCACCTGGTGATGGTTTCTGGGGTGAGTTGCGTAGTGATTGCAGGTGGTCAATGGCTTCCTATCAGTTTGTACATTGTTAAACAGGAAGAGAGCGAGTTCCTAACACCCTGCAACTTTTTGTCCTTCATTCGTTATAGAAGAAAATGTGGGACAATGTTGGCTATTATGTAGGTCAGGCTGTGAGCAGTGTCCTGTGCGCAGTGTGTTCTGTGCAATGATAAGAACAGTTACAGTTTTGTTAACCGAGGTGAAGGCTGCTCCGCTCTGCTGCTGACCATTTAACATCAGAAGCCGCGTCCTTCCGTTAGCTGTTGTGTAACCACCGGGTGATGTCGATTCAAAGGCCCTTCCTTGCCCGTCTGGTGCTTTATCTCCTGGTAATTGAGGTTCTGCCGTCTGCTCATCAAGTAATGTCTGCCTTGTGTTACATTGAGGGCTTCTGATTTTGAGTTTTAACCCCCAAAAACGATACAAAAAGGAAGTGCCTGTGCTACGTAAATCTGAGGTGAGGTTTTCTCTGGCTCCTGGTGTGCGCTCCATCCCACTCCTCCATGTGCGCGGGCACGTCTGAAGCGTTTGCGAGGAGGGAGGCACACCGCGTGCGTGAGGGCAACAGACAGTAACTAACAAAAGCTCTGAGCCTCCGATTTATTAAACGCTTTAAATTGCTATATAAAAAAATGAACCCCCAAAATCAGAAGCCCTATTTATACCCTGACTGGCTAATAGTTGGTCAGATGACTGTAACTGGAGATGCTTGTTCATGCGTACTTGTTGTCGGTATCTGTGAGGCATCCTACAAATGTCATTGTGAGCAGCGTGTGGTGACGAGCTGCAGAGTCTTACCTTGGCTAATAACAACACAACTCTGTCTCTTCCCATCAGGGTAAGAAGTACAAGCCTCTGGATCTGCGACCGAAGAAGACCCGTGCGATGCGTCGTCGGTTAAACAAACACGAGGAGGGTTTGAAGACCAAGAAACAGCAAAGGAAAGAGCGTTTGTACCCACTGCGCAAGTTTGCAGTGAAGGCATAATGTTCAGAGATGCCATTGATTAAAACCTTGGTCTAAATTTCTATCATTTTGGATTTGAGTTTTGGATTTTGTAAATATGCTCAAATAGTGTGGAGGCAGAGAGTGGGGCACTGATCTGGCCATGCTATCAGCTTCCTGAACCTGAGCTAGTCACACACTCAAAAAGTCTCCTCGCACTCGACTCACTCACACAGGACGCAGCACGATATTGAATTGAGCTTTCCTGCATAATCTGTACTGATCACAATCCAGGTGGGGACTGGTGTAGAACGATGCCTTTTACCACCTCTATTATGGTTGAGAGTCCACTGTGCCCTGGGGCTAACGTGACCATGGCTGCCTCTTAACTTCCTGGCTTTTACTCTGCACTCCCTTGTATTTTGAGACATACCTGTACCTCAGTGGTTAGAGCACTCGCCTCGTAAGCGAGAAACCTGGGTTTGATTCCCGGCAGGCGAAACCTTGGGCAATTTTCCTTTCTCCACACACCTGATAACAATCCCTCAAGAAAAGAATACAATAATAATTGGTCACTTCAATCCACGACTGTTTGTGGGACACTGCTATGCACAATTAATTGGCTGCCGCGTTTTGCCCACAAAATATAGTCAATTCACTTTACAGTATATTCTGTGAAGTGCTTTGAGACGTCTGTGTCAAATGCAAGGATTATTACCTGATTGTGGGATGGGGGTTAGTTTGCTGCCATTGAGACATCTGCAGACTGAGTGACCACATGTGCCCTGCAGGTCTCTACAATAAACCTTTAATATTGACATCAAACATAATTAATGGCAATCTCAAAGCTCTTCCAACTGGCTCTACACGGGTGACTTTTCACATGGTCTTTACTCTGTGTGGGGTGGGGTGGGAGGGTTGGACCTGGGATGAAGTTTGAGATCAATTGTTCCTGCTGTGAAGAGGGAGCCAGACGGAGAAAATTTACAAGTGAAGACTGTTTCCAGCTTTCCCTGGGGAGAGAGGAAACCAAGAATTAATCTGTGGAAAATGACTTAGCAATCCAGGGAAAGAGGATTCCAGCTCAGCTCCAGGACCGTGTTCAACCTCTCTCGTATCAAAAATGGATCTCTGTTCCTTCTTAGATTTGTCCTTGCCATTTCCTCTCCTAGAGCAAACCCTCCTCCATGTTAACCACTGGCCAGCAGTTAAAGCTGCTTCTAAGTTTGAACCATGATGCTGTTGTGGACGTTTTGACCACACAGAGTGACACTGCATTGTCCTCCACAAGCTGAATCTCTATTGCAAATCAGGTCCACCTTGTGCCAGTACAAACAGTCACTTTATAACCTATGTTAGCGGTTGTACTAGTTAGCGCACTCACAAGCGAGTGAACGCAGGTTTGATTCTTAGGTCAGGGCGAAACCTTAAGGAAGTTCTCTTATTCTACACACAAGCCTCTGTTTATCTAGCAGTAAGTAGGCACCCGGTTGTTAGCCAATTAGTGGATAGCTTGTCCAAGGGTAATAATCCCTTCAAAAAATAATAATTTGGTCACTCACTCCACCACTGTTTGTGGGACACACTGCTGTGCAGTGCGTTTCATCCCCAAACACACAGTCACTACACTTTACAGTATATTCTGAGACATCTCGAAGCCATGAAGAGGCAGTGTATCAAATGTAAGGATTATTATTAACATGTTGCTGAATCAGAGTAGAACACAGTTAAAGATGTGGGCAGTGAACTGCCAGGGGTCAGGCTGAAAATCTGACTTACCTGCAGCACCTGCTCACATTTCCCGACCTCACAATCCCATACGCGGACCTGTAGGAAAGGGCAGAGATCAGACCTCGACCCGGGAAACCGACACTGAATGGTCTTGATAATCAGCTGCTACAGGTGCCTACTGTGCCGTCATCTGATGCTGTCCCCAGGAAGATTCCATCTTTCCGGAATGCCAGCGCCTTAACCCAGCCGGTGTGATCCTTCAGCGTGAAGATCAATCTGCCGTTGTTTGTGTTCCAGATCCGCACCGTCCGGTCCCAGGAGCCTGAGGCCTAGGAGCAAATGTAATATAATCCTCGCATTTCAAACCTTAGGCAAGTTTCCTTACTCCACAAGCCTCTGTTTACTTACAGGAAGTAAGCAGCAACCCAGTAGTTAGTGGATTGGTGGATCGCTTTTCTGGAGATATTTGCCCTCAAAACAAATTGGGTCACTCATTCCACGATTGTTTGTGGAACATTATTGGGTGCAATTGACTGCTGCGTTTCGCCCACAAAATATAAACAGCCAATTCACTCTAGCCCTGTGAATCGCTTTGAGACGCCTCGAAGATGTGATAAGGTGCTTTATGAATTGTAAGGATTATTATTATTGTGAGAAAGTAGGGAGTTAGGATGAAGGCAAAGGAACTGGCAGCAGCACGTGCCTAATGGGGTGAATTGTCTTCAGTGACGCTGGGATCCATGTGATCTCAGTCCCTGGTAATATTTATTGATGTCTTGAGCTGGTGCTTGAGCCATCAATAAACATTACCAAAGACTGAGATCACATAGAGGACATGGGGTCGATTTTGCAGCATTTCTTAATCAAAAAAACTCCAGTGTTAAATTACCACTTGCAAATAAATACTTGCTGATAAACAGCACCAGAAATGACTTTCTCCTCCCACTTTGGCAAACCCCTCCAGCAAAAAACTAATTCTAGTGGTTAGGGAATATTAAGCCAGCGATGAACACTAAGTGCAAACCTGAGGTTTCACTGTTACACTCACCAGCATTCCTAGCTGAGAAAAGGCAACACAGCTCACGTTCCCGCTGTGACCAATCAATGTTTTCCTCCTTTTCTCATTCTGTAAATGCCACACAATCACCGAGTAATCCCAGGATCCAGTCGCCTGTGAGACAGACAAACTGTTTACTCGGGAAATCTCAGAGTTCTGAAAATTTCCATTAGAAGTTTTTAACATCTACTCAATTGTAATTACATTGATTAGTGATCATTAAACCTTATCATTAACACTAACAATTCTAAAGGTTTGCATCAATGTATTATACTCTCATCCTGTTCAATACTTGAATCTTTACCCAATTTTTATCTGCTCACTGCTTTGAACGATAGAGACCACAGCGTGTACTTTAGTGAACAGTGTAATAGTGCAGAGAGTAATAATGAAGCAAACAGCAAGTTACCAAATATGCTCCTTCGATTGAAAATGCACTGGTTTTGATAACGTTCTGATGTCCGTAGAGAGTCTTCAGCAAGTTGCCTGACTGTTAAGAGAGAGCAAGCTTTTCCATCAATGGCTTAGAGTAGCATTTTGACTGATGTGCGTGCGGTCAATGAAAGAATAGATTGCAGCACGTACAACAGCAACAAGTTGCATTTAACATGTAAGTCTCAGAGTAGTTACCACAGGTGTGTTTTGATGTTCAGCTGCAAGTAGAGGTGAGGTGACAAAAGGGCGAAGAGGAAAATCTGGTCAGGAGAGAAAAGTATGGTTTGAAGTGCTTACCACAGGATCCCACAGAATGGCGGAGTAATCCCAGCTTCCAGACACCAGGAGCTTGGAATCGTGGCTGAAGCACACCGTCTCCACACTCTTATTGTGCCCTGTCGAGAGATCAGCCAGAACAAAGCAATGAGGTGGTGGCATCATTGTGGATCTGAGTAAAACCAGGCTGAGAACTCATCAGCTGGATTCTGGGGCTCGGCGAATGTGCATCAAAAAGTTTGTCAGTTCAAGCACACATGTCGGGGTCTGAACTTAGCGTCCAGGCTGACGCTGAGAAAGATGTCGTTCGGTTGGATGTTAAAGATCCCACAGCGTGTTTGAAAAGAAGAGAGTTTTTCTTGATGTCCTCGTCAAGTAATCGTCTAGATAGAATCGTGGATCTTTTCTGTGGTTAAATGGTGCGCTTGCCTACAAAATAACAAGTAACTCTGCTTGACATTTATACACTTATTTATGCTTTGAGATGTGGTCTGAGGTGCTGGATCGTGAGGGACCTCCAGTGTTGATGCAACAACAATGCATTAGATTTAGGCAGGAGGACGTCCCAAGGTGCTGGACAGTCAGGGATTTGGACCCGAGCTGGGAGTTGGGATCAGGGAGCTGGAGAACATGGGTAGGAAGGTGGGCAAAGGTGCGATCGGAGAGGTGCGGTCTTGAGCTGTGCCTTGATGGGAAGGAGCAATGCGAAGGGACTGGGGGATGGAGTTCCAAAGGCTGGGGGCAGAGAGGTTAAAGGCTCGACCAGGACATGGAGCAGCTCGGAGCCCGCTGAGCGGAGGGAACGGACAAGTTTATATGGGGTCAGCAGCTCAAAGAGGTAGAAAGGAGCAAGGCTGTGAAGGGCCTGGAAAGCGAGGCTGAGGATTTTAAACTCTATCCTCTGGGGAATGGGGAGTCAGTGGAGCCAGCGAGGGTGGGGGTGATGGGGTCACGGAGGCTGGTGTGGGAGAGGACACGAGCTGCATAAGTTCTGGATGATCTGCAGCCTGTGGAGGGAAGAGTTGGGTAGGATGACAAGCAGCGAGTTGGCGTGGTCGATTCTAGATGTAATAAATGCATGGATGAGGGTTTCAGCAGCCTGAGAGGAGAGGCAGTATTGGAGCCGGGCGGTGTTGCAGAGGTGGGGGAAGACAGAGCAGGACATGGCACGGATGTGGGGGAAAAAAGGGAGTTGAGGGTCAAACAAAACACCACGGTTCCAGACTGACTGAGTAAGGTGGAGTGTGTATTTATGGATGGTGATGCGGCCAGTGCCTGGGGAGGGGTGATGGGAGTATGGGGGCTGTGTGTGTGTGAGCTGGGTGTGTATGTGTGAAAGTGGGGATGGAGCGGTGTGTGAAAGTGGGGGTGAGCTTTGTGTGTTGGGGGTGGGGAGCTGGGGCAGTGGGGGTGTGAGCTCTGTGTGTGTGTGTGCGTGAGAGAGTGAGGGGTGGAGGGTGAGCTGTGTGTGTTGGGGGCCGAGGTAACATACCGTGCAGGATGTTTAGACAGCTGGCTCTGGCTGTGTCCCATACTCTGACTGTACGGTCGTGTGATCCGCTGGCAAACCAGTCACAGTTGGTGTTGAAAGCACACGCTCTCACCGGCCCTGGGTTAGACACACACGGGGGACACCGTCACTACAATGTCACTCAGTTAATTCACCGCCCAAGAACTGAAATGGGAAAACCCGGAGTGTCTCCCACCTGTGTGGCCTTTCAGTCTCGCCAGGAGCTTCCCGTTAGCGACCTTCCAGATACAGATACTATTGTCATCAGAGCCGGTCAGCAGGATCTGGCAATCCCAGGTCAGTGTGCACAGGTTCACCTGCCGACAACAAGCCAACTGGTCACACACTGGCTCCCGCCTCACCGGCCCATTAACTGCATTTTTCCTACGAGCGCCTCATCACAACAACAACAGATTCCATTTATGCAGTGTCTTATCACATTGAAAAGTGCTTTACAGTAAGCTTCCTTTTGGAGAAAGTGAGGCCAGTCAAGCAAATGGGCTTTGGTTTGTTCTGTATATAGGGCCAGTGCAGTGCTTCCTCCCTCTCTCTGCTCAGGGCACAAGATATAATCATAGAATTATACAGCACAGAAGAAGGGCTTTCGATCCATTGTGTCTGTGCCGCTTTTTGAAAAGAGCTTCCAATTCAACCCCACTCCACCGCTCTCTCCCCATAGCCCTGATCAACCCCACTCCCCCACTCTCCCCCCATAGACCTGATCAACCCCACTCCCCCACTCTCTCCCCATAGCCCTGATCAACCCCACTCCCCCGCTCTCTCCCCATAGCCCTGATCAACCCCACTCCCCCACTCTCTCCCCATAGCCCTGATCAACCCCACTCCCCCACTCTCTCCCCATAGCCCTGATCAACCCCACTCCCCCGCTCTCTCCCCATAGCCCTGATCAACCCCACTCCCCCACTCTCTCCCCATAGCCCTGATCAACCCCACTCCCCCACTCTCCCCCCATAGCCCTGATCAACCCCACTCCCCCGCGCTCTCCCCATAGCCCTGACCAACCCCACTCCCCCGCGCTCTCCCCATAGCCCTGATCAAGCCCACTCCCCCGCTCTCTCCCCATAGCCCTGATCAACCCCACTCCCCCGCGCTCTCCCCATAGCCCTGATAAACCCCACTCCACCGCTCTCTCCCCATAGCCCTGCAAACTTGTCCTCCTCAAATAATTATCTACTTCTCTCTTAAAAGTTGTTATCGAATCAGCTTCCACCAGCCTTTCAGGCAATGCATTCCAGATCCCAACATTTCTCCTCACCTCCCCTCTATTTCTTTTAACAACTATTTTAAATCGGTGATCCACTAATCGTCTGACAACCGGGTTTCTACTTACAGCAAGGTAAACAGAAGCGTGTTGAGTTTTCGAATTCAAGATCCTCATCCTCACCTACAAGGCCATTCACGGCCTCGCTCCCTCCTACCTCTCCGACCTAATATACCCCTACCTACCTGCCCGTACCCTCTGTTCCTCTGGCTCCGGTCTGCTTCACATCCCCCACCCCAACCGCCCTACCATTGGTGGCCGGGCCTTCAGCCTCTCAGCCCCGAGGCTCTGGAACTCTATCCCCCAGTGCCTTCGCCGCTTCCTCCCTTTCCTTCTTCAAGGCCGGTCTCAAGACCTTTCTATTCAACCGTGCCTTCAGCTCCCCTCTCGACTCTCTACCCCCTCCTCGCTCCCTCCCTTCCCTCCCCTCACCCTGACCATTTCCCCCTTGCTCGGGTCCTGACCCAACTGTACAACTGTACACGTCGGGACGTCCTCCCGACGTGAAAGGCGCTCTATAAATGGAATCTTGTTGTTGTTGAGTGAGGAAACTGCCTTAAGGTTTCGCCCTGCCCGGGAATCGAACCCGGGTCCTCTCACTGTTCGTGTGAAGCTGAGTTACATGCTGAGCACTAAGTTGCTGATGTGCTCAGACAATGTGTAGAGAGTGATTTAGTTGCAGTCAGTGTCTCGCAGCCCAGAGGGCAGGTGGGAGCTCACCTCAGCCTTTTGCAATGGGATGTATTTCACGATGACAGTGTTGAAGTTTAGAGACAGTTTCTTAAGCATGACGAGTTAAGCTTTGCTTCCGTGGATTGTGGAGATCATGGACAGCGGTTGTCAGGGGAATGGGATTGAGGTGCTTTCACTGCTGACCGGTGGCCAAGAACCACACGGTTTCCTCTCTTTGTTTCAGGTTGTTAGCGTCTGGATCAAAAGCTCAGCCTCAGCCTCACATTGGAGCTGGGCGGGGGGGGGGGGGCAGTCAGTGGTTTGCTTTGCCCATACCTGGGAAAGAATTACCAACAACAATATCAACAACAAAAACACCAACATTTACACAGCGCCTTTGAGGGAACAGCACATTCCAGTTCTTTATGCAGTGACTGTGTGTATGTGTCTGTGGGGGGAGGGGGCAAAAGGTGAATGACAATGTAGCTGAAGAGTAAGGTCTTGAGATGAGCTCTCAGCAACAACAAAATTACACGTGTATAGCACCTTTCATATCGGGAGGACGTCCCAAGGCGCTGGACAGTTAGTGTTTCAAACCCAAGTTGGGGGTTGGGGAGGGTGGAGGGCAAGGGGGGATGAAGGGTAACCGAAGGCAAGGATGAAGAGGAGGGTCTTGAGATCGGTCTTTAAGGTGGCATGGGAGGGTGCGAGGCGAAGGGGCTGTGTGATGGAGTTCCAGATGGTGGGGGCAGAGTAGCTGAAGGCCCGCCTGCCAATGGTGGGGCAGGCGAGGTGGGGGACATGAAAAAGGCTGGAGCCCGCTGAGTCCTGCAGGGAACAGGTGGGTTGGTAGGGGGTTAGGAAGTCACAGAGGTGGGGGGGGCGCAAGGCCATGGAGGGATTTGAAGGATCTTGAACTGTATCTGCTGTGTGATGGGAAGCCAGTGGAGTCGGGTGAGGATGGGGGTGATAGACACAAGCTGCAGAATTCTGGACGATCTGCAGCCTATGGAGGGAGGAGTTGGGGGGGATGATGAGCAGGGATTTGGCGTAGTCGAGCCTCGATGTAACGAATGTGTGTGTGAAGGTCTCGGCGGCCTGTGGTATAAGACCATAGTGGAGACGGGCAATTTTTCGGAGATGGGAGAAGGCAGAACAAGTCATGGCATGGATGTGGGGTAGAAATGACAGTTGAGGGTCAAACAAGACCCCAAGGTTCCGGACTGGCTCAGTCCTTGGATGGTGATGCTGCCAGTGCCTGAGGGTTTGGAGGCGCTGACGGGAGCCAATCAGGAGGTCCTCGGTCTTGTTAACATTCAACTGTAGAAAGTTAGCTCTCATCCAGCACTTGATGTCCAACAGACATTCTGTCAGAACAGCAGTGGTCCTGGAGTCGAGGGTAGAAACAGAGACATTGAGTGTCATGCGTATTTATGTTAGTTGACCCTATGTCTGTGGATGATGTCACCTCATTTATGCAGTCAACTAATATAGATATTGAAGAGGAGGGGACCAAGGACAGAGTCCTGAGGAACAGCGCACAAGATGGTCTGGGGGCTGGAGGAGAAGCTATTTGTAGGGATAAAGTGGAGACGGTGTGAAATGATCTGAACCACTCAAGGACAGAACCATGAAGGTTGATGTGAGAGGAGAGGTGGTAGAGGAGGATAGAGTGTTCAACAGTATCGAAAGCAGCAGAGAGGTCAAGGAGGACAAGGAGGCAGAAGGAGCCTAGTTGCAGATGGACAAAATGTCATTTGTCACCTTGACCAAAGCTGTTTCTGTGCTGTGAGCGACACGGAAGCCCAATTGGAGGAGTTCGAGAAGGGATTGGAGGGAAAGGAAGGAGCAAAGTTGAGAAGCAACGACTCATTCCAGGACCATGGAAAGGAAAGGGAAGTCACAGATTGGGCGGTAACTTGAGAGCAGGGATGGGTATTAGGGAGGGACCAGAATGGCTGATGGGTGCACTGTGCGGGTGGGCTTGTGGGGTTAGAGCTTTTCTATCAAATCCAAGAAATATTTTATTATTATTATTTTACCTTTGTCTTGTGCACACTGACTATCAGATTTGAGTGTCAGGTGGTAAAGTGAAGTTGCTGGTGATTATGAGGTCAGCAGTGAAGGTGTGTGTGGCAGGGAATATGATGTAAATCATGAGCCACATATTTCAGGACCGCTGCCCAGGTCGTAAAGTCTTAACAGACACAAAGAAGTTTCACTCTATGGTTTTGCTATGGGGAAGAGCAGGGGAATGGGACGAGTTGGTAGCTTTTTCAAAGAGCCAATGGGCTGAATGGCCTCCTTCTGTGCTGAAACATTCTATGATTCCCTGTGAGCCCGAAGGGGTTTGCAAGTTGACAAGGGAGGAAATGGTTGTGGGAGGAAAAGGCTGTGCTGGATGGTGAACTGGATGTTAGCACCTGAGCACCACTCTAGCCCAGACTGATAGCACAGAACCTCCTCCCTGGGCCTCTGTGAGGGGTGTGGACCCCAGCAGGTGAGAAAGAACTTTTCAAGCAGTTTTTGATAGCATCAAGAACATTAAATTGTCTCAAAGTGCCTAACCGCGTAAATGACTTTATTTTGCCCTCCCAACAGGCTGTATAAATGTAAATTTGTATTGTAAAACGTATTGTGTTGCAGGCAACCAAAATAACAGCAGCTGATTTATGCTGAATCAGCCATGTGGTGAGCATTAACCATTTATCTTTCCAGCTACAAGTTTCACTATTAAAAAGTCACTCGAATGTTAAACAGGTCCTAAATATTTTCCGAGTAATTTTGTTTTTTAACTCAGTCAGAAGGGGGAACGTACACCATGCGGCCACTAGAGGGCGGCTGAAGTCTACGTGGAGCAGTGCCGGTCATCTATCTGCTATTTTAGGGTAAAGCTGTTGGGATGTTGGGTGGGACATTGGGACAAACTCGCTTTTCTGTCACATGGTATCACAGGGGTCTTGCCATCCAACTAATGGAGCTCAATTTGGTCAGCCGGGTGTCTACCACACACGGAAACCCATCACCATACAATATAGAGTATCCAAACCAGACAGTTTCAAATATAACCGGCAGCTACACATGGATGGCATGTAAGAATGGAATGCATTTCATTCCCTGGAGGGACCCTGCAACCTAATCCCAGAGACTATTAGGAGCAACAGTTGGAAAGAGTGGAGGCTTGTGAGACCCCAGAGTGTGCGTTGGGGTAACTGCAGTTTAACCAGGAAAAAAAAACACTTGAACCCACAACCTCCTGACCCAGAGATAAGGCTGGTGGACCTGAGTCAAGCTGTGTCTTGATGTCAAGCTGCCCTCTTGCGAGAAGCAATGTGGGCTGGGATCAGGGGGGCTGTGGAAAGCCAGCTCGCTGCTGCTTCACAGGCTCCTTAAAGTCACCCACGACCCCAGTCTCATACTCCAATCCACAGCTGAGAATGTGGCCACACAGGGCCAGGGAGTGGCACAATGTACAATGAGATGTGGAGAAAAGTCCAGAGGCCTCAGAGAATGTGCTGCCTCTGCAAGATTCCTGCGGCTGTCCCAGCGTTCGGTTTACAGACTCTGTGAAAACTGCAATCTAATTTGAATAATGAGGCCATTCAGCCATTGTGCCACTGCCCTGAAAGATAATCGGTTTAGTTCCGTTCCTTGCCCTTTCCCCACACTCTTTTTTAAAATATATATACATATATTTGTCTAAATTCTCTTCTAATATCGAGCTATTGAATTTCTGCTTTTTGGAGATTTGATATTCGTTGCGGCAGATAGGAGGAGCTGGTCAGTAGTGAAAGAGTTAATGGGCTCCTTTGGTTGTGATTCTCCCCACCCGAGGGAATGAGTGTATCAGAGAGCTGACAGTGTTCGGGTGCCCTGGTTTTATGTAACTGACGTTCAAATCCTTGACTGTCCAGCAACTTGAGACGTCCTCCAGACATGAAAGGTGCTATACAAATATAATTTGTTGGATTTTTTGTGATGTTATTTTTGTCTTAGATCCATGTAAATCCCCATTGGACTGAAACAGGGAGTCGAGGGAAGCAGGGAATGTCCACGCTGAAGAAGAGCAGGTTCGGGGAGATAGTGTGGAGGTGTTTAAGATAAAGTCGTATATAAATATATAAATAGATAACATTTAATATATAATAAACCGATAACTGAATCCTAATAAAGGGGCTCAATCTACGGTGTTCCTCAAAATCAATCGTGGAGTTGTTGAATTTCGAAAACATTGAGTATGCTGATTTGTGATTCAGTAATCCGATGAGGAGGACCACAAATTAGACCCCAATATGTCTAGCTCAGTGGTTAACAAATGTAGAGTGAGGGCTCAAGCTGAGAGAAGATGATGAGACAGCTCAGGTTTCAGAGAGAGGAAAGATTCCATGACAAACACCGCTGGTCACCTCACTTGTGTTCCCCCCCCCACCCCGTACACACACACACACAAGCAGCTCTTTATCTCTTCCCTGCTCGACAGGGGGTGGGCGGGGGAGGAGAAGCGGAGAGGAGAGGTTAATTGGGGGCACCTGCTCCGTCCTGCCAGCTCAATGGACCGTCTTGTTTGTGGGTGTCTCAAAGGCACTCTCTGAGGTTTGACTCCTGCTTCTCGCTGCTCAGAGAAACTGAAAGAAGTCAATGTTCTGCCACCCACTTACTTTCCACTGTCTCGCAGCCAGAGACTAGCCATGCCCTTCGCCCTCATCAGTGGGGTAGCATCCTGGAGTGCTTGTGCCACAACACAAGGAGTGCCACAAAAGCTCTGATTCTGCCGACGATTGTTTTTTATCTGTTGGACCAGAGCCCCGAAAGCCCGATCAGACACCGATAAAGCAGATGGAGTCGGAATTGCGAGCGTTTGATACAAAGCAGTTCAGCGACAAGTTGAACGGTCACTTGTTTTAGCGTGGTTACCCGAACATCTCTGAAGAGCTTCACATAGACATTGGAGATAGGCGAGCGGGGAGGAGAGGAATCTGTTTGAAAGCCATAGTGGAGTGCTCCCTGGGGGAGGGTGGAGGTGGGGGAGAGAACGCAGAGCCTCCACCCTAACACATCTGGGATGCGTTGGACGTGAAAAATCGATCCTATTAAAGAGAACCTTGTTCTGGTTGCTA